GAGGCAAATATTTTGCTTAAGTCTCTCTTTACTTAAGCTCAACAGCAGCACAGTTTAACATTACTCAAAAATGAGTAATACAGTATAAGACTCTGAGCCAACGTGGTAGAAGAGACGGGGCCGTGAGGGTGGATATAGGAAATCAGGAGTAGACCTCTGCGGGCGGAATGTAGAGACGAGCTAGCATCAGCGTATCTTGAGAGGGCCAAAGCCACAAAGCGTTTCGGGAAGTCCCTGAAGTACGGGTTAAAGACCATGGACTAATCTGATTTTGTGCGTCTGGAGATGGAGAATGAAACTCCTTCTGGGAAGAAGGTGAATCCATCGCAGTCGAAAGCTCTAATGTCTGATACTCTGCAAAAGGAGACCAGACATAATAGTAGCATAAACTTTGCTGATAGCTGGCGAAGGGAAAGATTTTCGTTCTCGGGACAATCCAGTAGAAATCTGAGGATTATATTCACATCCCAGAGGTGAGTATATTTAGGTGCAGGAAGTCGAGCCAGCTTGATGCCTCCGAGTAGTCTTTCAGTTGATATGAAATATGTTCTCTGCTGATGTCCACGGGCCTCCCGTGGAGTCTGTTGGGCCAGAAGCCCCCTGTCCCCATAGACTTGACTCTGATTCCATGATGAAGTCTGGGGTGGGACCGAAGATTGCTTTTCCTTTCCACGTCGACATGTGGAGAAGCCACCATCAAATTTTTCTTGGACTTCTGCTGTTAAGAAAACCATTTGGTCGTATGAGGGTTGAAGCTGAAGAAACTGCGCTTTTAAGCGCTGCATGGCTAGGTAATGCAAAGGTCCTGGGTAGATGGCCTGTATTGAGGCTGAGAGTAGACCCACAATCCGAGCCAGCATTTGGAGAGGAACCTGATCTAGACGTAAGGTTCTGCTTAGTTCCTTCCGGATTGCCGAAATTTTTGATTGAGGGAGGCGTAGAGATTAACATGTTGCATAGCTCTTTTATAAAAAAGCTCTCAAAATAACAGGCCATTTGCCAAAGGACCAAGCTCTTTCGATCCCAGATCAGACAGTTTGCTGTCAATGCGGAGTAGCACCACTTTCCTTCACTCCGTACATAAAGACGCATTTGCGCTGCCTAGCAGGCAAATGGAACGTAGAGCCCAGTCCCTAATCGTGGACGGGTCTAAAGTTATATCCTGAGAGAGCTTCGTCTGCCATCATTAATATTCTGGCCAGGGGTCCCAAGACCTCTAATAGTTGGTCTTGCGTAAGTCGCAAGCTGCGTTCAACTCCCTTACGGGAATCGCAGCCAGTCCTTGCCAGGAACGTATGTACCGTCACATCGAATTCAGGGGTCATAGCAACCTTATCCAGAAGGAACGGTCTGGGCCATTCCGCCCGTAATCTTTTTCTGACCTCCCGGTCCAGAGGTCTTCGAATCCAAAAATGAATATATTGAGTCAATTGATCCGGTAGGGACCATTCGGAGAATCGTGGATGTCTGATGTTGCCTGGGTCCAAGTGAGGTTGACCCAGAGTGTCTATGAAGGTGTCTGTACCTTCAGACTGAACTGGCAGTGCAGCTGGGATGTCATAAGTAAACTGGGTGTCCTCCCAAGGCTGTTTCTAGCCAACCAGTCTCTTCATCAGACTCGGAGTAATCTGCCTGCCATTCATCTAAAAAAGGCTTCCTCATCTCTGACAACGTAGGATGGTTAGTAAACTTTTCCTTAGGATCTAGTTGTTTAAGGCGTCTAGCCGGAGCTTTACCCTTGCTGTTCTTAGGCTCAGGGCCGTCCCCTTTCCAGTGGAACGGAGTCTCAATCGTATTTGTGTCTTTAGAGTCTACTGGGCGAGCCCGTGTTAGTGCCTTCTCGACAGATGTGGCCACTGCCGCATTAATGAGGGCTTGTAAACTCTGTTCCTGAGTCTTCAATAATCATAACTATGAAACAAAATAAATATATATGTATGTATGTATGTACGTACGTACATACAGACAAAGGGGTCCAATCAAGTAGCTGTGATAGAAACACAGCAGTATCATATGACCAGTAGTAGTGTAATCTGAGTAATAATATCCTGGGGCTTCACCCCTAATATTGGAGTAATACTGTTTGCAACAGTGTATAAAAAAGTAATATAATTGAATAAAAGCTCCCAAGGTTTGAGTTTAGTGGGAGTAGTGAGGGATAGAGTGAAAGTCACCAGCGCAAATAAAATAAGAAACTGCAGTTTCTAAAATGGGAGAAGTTGATAAATAAACTGTCTCGCTGTGCGCCGCCACAAGCCAGCAAACAAATATCCGAATTCCGACCTGTGGTGACATCTGGACAGAAATCAGGCTCAATCTAATCCAACTCGCGGTATCTGTCTGGCCGCGAGCCGGGGAGTAACCAGGGAAGCCGTGTAAGATAGACTGTTCAGCTTGCGGTAACCCCCAAAATGGCCACAGTAACACTTGCACAGGTGCGCAAGGGCCAAAAAATGTCCGCTCAGATCTCGCGCGACGGGCGCCAGGAATGAGCATGACTTGACGGAGGCTTTCTCTGCGAGCCCAAAGGCCGGGAAAACTCAGAGCAGTGTTATTAAAGACTGCTGATGTCCCGGTGATAAAACCAAAAGAAATATACAGGAATAAACTGGAAGAAATAAAGCGAAAGTAGGAAATAAAATAAGGAAATAAAATACAGCGAAAAGATAGAAATTTAAATAAAGTTGTGAAGTAAAAGGTGCAGCAAAAAGACACCCTGAGATAATAAAATGATGCCAATGCATGTGAATTACATAGAAATAAGTAACATTAAGTAAATGTAGTAAAAATTAAGTTAAAAAAATACCACAGAAAAACACAAATGTAGGAGATCGTGGCACTCTGACCTGCACTGGTGCAGAGCAGCAAAGAAAGAGGAGGAGTGACTTGGAGAGCCGAGTCTTATACGGTATTACTCGCTTTTGATTGGTTCTCACTGTTTCTATGTTAAACTTTGCTGCTGTGGAGCTTAAGTAAAGAGAGACTTAAGCAAAATATGAAGCCTCCTGTCATGTAATAAAATTCATGTTTACACTATATATACCATTTCAGAACCTGTCTTGACACAACACCTTGAAATTACTGTCAAAGATCAGCTTATCAGTATTTTGTGAAGGCTGTATTTATAAACCTGAATTGCTGCTGTCAGTTAGGGAACAGCCCAGTGCTATAAAAATGTTCTTTTAAAAGTATCTGTAATCGTTTTGCTACATGTACAAGGTGAGGGAATGTGTAAAAATGTGCACGTAAGGCAATGGGACTTTCCTTGCCATCCCCAGTAGCACTGATAGAGAGGTAGGCTCTTCCTATCTTTCTATCAATACTACAGGAGGATGGTGAACACATTTTTTTTTTATATATAAGAATCTGTTTTCATGTATGCTACTTCTGTCTTTAAGAAGTCATTTATATATAAACAAGAAGAATGTCTGCATGTGTATTGTAGAATCTAGGTAAAGTACAAAAATTGTCATTTAAAATGCCTACATATTGATAAAACCCCATGCATCATGGGTGGTTGCCTTTTTTAGTTGTACTTGTATGAGGCTCATTTTCATTACTGTAGGTAAGTCTTTTTGTGTGTGCGACTACTTTTCTCCTACTTTGTCTGTAGTCTTTCTGTATTTTAGGAAACATAGCCCTTTGATTGCAGTGGTGCTATTTAGTTATTATTTTTGTGTTTTGTAAGGATACTCAAACTAGTATTTTCTATTTTAGCTGTTGGTGACTGATTACTCCCTTTTGGTTGCACAAGATCCTTTATAGTGAATAGAAATCCAATATCATTGATTCCTCTGAGGAAGCAGTCAAAACATTTCGCTTCTTTAGGGGTTTCAAAACTAAAGTCTGTACAATAATAAGTATTTATCCATTTGTTAAAAAGTTAAGTGTACTCTTTATTGTTATAGAGCATTGGTTCCCAACCCAATCCTCAAGTACCTCCAAACAGTCCAGGAGTTAGGGATTACCAAGTTGTGTCTAAGGTGTTTTTAGAAAGAAAAAGAAAAACACTTAAGACATGGTAATTCCTAAATCCTGGACTGGCAGGGGGTACTTGAGGACTGGGTTGGGAACCTGTGTTATAGAGTATCCTTCTGCAAATCCTTTGAATCGGTTATGTTTTGCATATTTTAATCCTATTTTTATCAAACACACAAACTAATGTATAAAGTTTAAAATTGCCAATCTATAGTAACTTTATAATCTCGGCAATACATCAAATAATTGTTGTGGCTTTAGCCGTACATGATTCTATATTGTGACATGCAATAAAAAGAAAACCTCTGACAAGTAGTGCCAAACTAATAGTAAAGAACTCCAGGAAAAAGTAAATATGGGTAATAACAATATCGCTTTTTTTTGTCCTGATATTGTTATGACCCATATTTACTTTTTGACCATGATAAAGTTTTTTACATTCACTTGGAGCCTCCATCTCCAGTATTTCCACCACAGAGGGAAGAAAAATATACATCTTTAACCCCTTAAGGACCAAACATCTGGAATAAAAGGGAATCATGACATGTCACACATGTCATGTGCCCTTAAGGGGTAAGCCTGCATTGGCACCCCGAAAAGCATTTTATAGAGCCTAACACGGCTCTATACTTTGTGAGTTATTGTCCACTATTCGATAGTTTTTTTTCCCTGTATATACAGAAAGCACTACGTGTTATTATTTTTCTATGTTTTAGATTTTCTTGTTTATTCGCAACACAGGGATAGGTATTTATATCTTATGTTCCTGTGCCTAAGGTGTACACTTTATTTTGTGTCTATTAAGATTGTAAACTTGTTTGATAAGGGCCCCATATTCCCAGGCTGCAGGACGAAGGGTCCTGTCCTGATTTTGTTTCTTAGTGTCCAAAGACACCAGGCAAATGTCCTTAGGCATCATAGTGCAAGCGCATCATTAGACACGCTCGTGCCGTAAATGGGCATTAGGACCCAGAAAGCGCTTCAGCAGCACCCTCTGTAAGTTCGTGGAGCTTGTGGACTGGATGGCTATGGTTGTTGCCAGTTACACTGTGAATGGGCTGGCCATGTACACTGGGGTTGGGTCGGCCATTTTAAAACTTTGTCTATTTGTTTGACCTACCTATGGAGCAGTGTTTAAATTATTCACAATAGGTCCCTTAGCTTGTCACCAGTGTAAAATACAAGCATTATCGGATAATATAAGTTTACCTTTGTCAGACTTGTTGCAAATCCGTTAACATATGACATTCTAGACCAGTGGTGGCGAACCTATGGCACGCGTGCCACAGGTGGCACGCAGAGCCCACTCTGTGGGCACGTGGCCATAGGTCGCCGGAGGGAGGGAGGGTGCGCTCCGCCGGCGCATCCATAAGGCGGCACAAGTGGCCGCCTTAGGGTGCACCGGCCCGGCGGGCGCAAAGCCGGAGTGACCGGCAGGAGGTGAGCGCATAGAGCACAGCGCTCCCTCCTGCCAGGCGCTCTGTGTAGCGTGGCCGAGCGCACCGCGGTACAGGAACTTATGTTTCCTGTACCCGGGCGGCCGGAAATGAAGTGCTCACAGAGCGAGCACTTCCTGTCCGCCGGGTACAGGAAACATAAGTTCCTGTACCGCGGTGCGCTCGGCCACGCTACAAGGTAGGAGCTCAAGGGGAGGGGGGACCTGAGTGGGAGTGAGATGGGGGGGGAACTGAGGGAGAGCTATGGGGGAACTGAGGGAGAGCCATGGGGGAACTGAGGAGAGCCATGGGGACTGAGGGAGAGCTTATGGGGACCGAGGGAGAGCCATGGGGAACTGAGGGAGAGCCAGGGGGAACCCAGGGAGTGGGGGAGAGGAAGAGATGGGGAACTGAGGGAGAGATGGGGAAACTGAGGGAGAGAGATGGGGGAAACTGAGGGAGAGAGATGGGGGGCTAAACTGAGGAGAGATATGGGGGGACTGAGGGAGAGAGATGGGGGGGAGGGACTGAGGTAGAGATAGAGATATGGGGGAACTGAGTGGGAGAGATATGGGGGGGGGAGAGATATGGGGGGGGAACTGAGTGGGAGAGATATGGAGGGGGAACTGAGTGGGAGAGATGGGACGGAAACTGAGGGAGAGATGGGGGGGAACTGAGGGAGGTATAGGGGGAGAAAACTGAGTGTGGGACGGGGGGTGAGGGGGGACAACATACACACAGCACCCCTGCCCTACACATATCACCCCACACAAAGACACCCACACATCACCCTACCCACACATCACATCACCCCACCCACACACACAAACACACACAATGTACCCCTCAATGCAGTGTGTGTACACTCAGCAGTCTGTCTGTGTGTGTACACTCAGCAATCTGTCTGTGTGTGTACACTCAGCAATCTGTCTGTGTGTGTACACTCAGCAATCTGTGTGTGTACACTCAGCAATCTGTCTGTGTGTGTACACTCAGCAGTCTGTCTGTGTGTTTACACTCAGCAGTCTGTCTGTGTGTGTACACTCAGCAGTCTGTCTGTGTGTGTGTACACTCAGCAGTCTGTCTGTGTGTGTGTACACTCAGCAGTCTGTCTGTGTGTGTGTGCGTCGCGTGTGTGTGTATTTAGCAGTCTGTGTGTGTATTCAACAGACTGTGTACTCAGCAGTCTGTGTGTGTATTCAGCAGTCTGTGTGTGTATTCAGCAGTCTGCTAAGTACACAGACAGACTGCTAAGTACACAGACAGACTGCTAAGTACACAGACAGACAGACTGCTAAATACACACACAGAGATGTTAATTAGTTAGGACAACTGTATGAGTTGTTTTTTCAAAACTTAAACCTCAGTATTCAGGTTTAAATGCCGTTTTGGCACTTTGAGGGAAAAAAAATTGGCATGTATTACGGTTTGGGCACTCGGGCTCAAAAAGGTTCGCCATCACTGTTCTAGACTGCCATGCAAAAAGGAAGAAAAGTAGTATACCCCAGGAGCTGCGATGAGGTAGCTGAGGCCTGGATCATATCATATCAGAGATAGCACACAGAACAACTACAGATCCATACAGCACCTTTACCCAGGCCATCCCAAATTCCACGACATACATGCAGAAATCACATGTCCTGTCACCATAAGCCTCTGTCAATAAGATTTTCGATTGGCTTAAATAACAGCATAGATTTTTTTCTAAAAATATAACTAAACAAATGGGTCTTATATAAGTTTGTGTACAGGTATCTTGTAATTTTGTCTGACCTATTTGCAACATACATAGTTTTAATTATTTATTTTTCTTTTTCTTAAAGGCATGGAAGAGAAGATGGTTTGTACTTCGCAGTGGACGTCTAACAGGAGATCCTGATGTACTAGAGTATTACAAAAATGACCATGCTAAGAAACCAATTCGTATTATTGACTTAAACTTGTGTGAGCAGGTTGATGCTGGATTAGCATTCAACAAAAAGGAATTTGAAAACAGTTATATTTTTGATATAAAGACCATTGATCGAGTATTTTATCTTGTGGCCGAAAGTGAAGAAGAAATGAATAAGTGGGTTCGAAGCATATGTGACATCTGTGGGTTCAATCCTACTGATGAAGGTTAGTAACTGTTAAATATGACTACATTATATATCTACAAAATGTTCTTTATATATCTGGAACATTCTTATAAGTGAACAGACCTAGAGAGTAGCGTGTAGAAAGTCAACCTTGGCTTAAAAAAAAACAGTGACATCTTGTGATATATACGGTCTATTACATACATGAATGCTGCATTAGCACCAGCGTTGGCAGGTGTTTGTTGAAATGCTGTTTGTTGTTATGGGTGTTTGTTGAAATGCTGAACATGGGGCACTGTAATGTTTTGAATGTTTGGAAAATCAAACTTAACATTATGTAATGTCGTGTGAGCAATGTTTAACAGAGACTCCCTTTCCAGCATTTGAACCATTTGGGTGGACTCTGCCTTTATTCTTTGCCTTTCAAATATGCCTAAAAGTGCACCCTAGTGCTGAAAAAAATAAATATATATATATATATATATATATATATATATACATATATATATATATATATATATACACATATCTATCTATCTCTATATTTATATAGATAGATATATATGTGTGTGTGTATTATATATATATATATATTATTTTTTTTGTTTGGTTTTTTTAGTAGAGAAAAAAAACATACTTTGGACATAATGCATTACAATATTTATGTACTCAAAAGGTACTGTTTCAAGTGCTAATTTTTCTGTAATATGATCCTACACTATAAAATAATATATATTAGCTGGCCAACTTATTATATTGTACTATAAAAAAAGATAAATCATATAAGCCGTATAATTTTCAACTTTCTTTATATATCTATTTTGCTGAACTTAGACAGGTATATTGACCCTGGAGTAGAACCTGCTAGGGCCTAGAGGTACTGTAAGGATAGGTGAATACCAACATATGTAATACAGTGTATTATAGTCATGTGCTGTGATAGGTACAAATACAGGATCTTTCATAGTAAGATTTGAAAAGAGCATGAGCAAGATACTGACAATATGTACTTTGTGCTGTCTCCTGTGATAACATAGAATGGAAGGGTAGCACTATAGCTGCAGCTTTTCTTAATTGTGGCCGAAGTTAATTTATTGAAGGTAGACCACTAACTTTTTTTGAACCATAAGCTATGCAATGAGCACCCCTTTAAGATTCTAGAACCCACTAGTATCAATAAGTTCTGCAATTTCAAGCAACCTCCCAGACAACAAAATAAAGTGGTCGACATCTGCTTGCTTGTTTGATAAGGGCCCCATATTGGGCATGCTGGATGCAATGTTATGACTTTTCTTGAATGTGATTGTTGACAAGAATTGCTTTGGTAAACTTATATGCTACTTATATGCTACAAAAAAAACGCTTGCCAGATCTGCCAACCAAACAGATACTGACTAAATGCAAAAAAATATAACACTGGATGAAGATTCAGAGAAAACCTCTTACTACATTCAGTGCATGCATCCTATGTAGTCTTGGAAAGATTTTTCCCACGATGGAAAATCTACATGCAAAAAGTGGTTTGAATCAGTAAAATGGAAAATATCTAGTAATGGAATATCAGGAGCAATAACCTATTTTAGATGTCACTATGAATAATAAGAAACCATCTAGAACAAAGTACAAAGTTGCAAGTGCAAAACATGCTCAACGTTTACCCCAATACAATGTTAAGGAAACTGCTTAAATGTAGAAAATGGGTAATAAAATTTCGTATCACTCTGGTTAAAAGACACCATATGTTGAAACATCTGGCCTAATATATCGTTTTTCTGCATGTCTGGTGATTATTTAGGCTAGGTGAAGCAGCCATCATTGTTTAATTTTTCGAAGACTGAGGCGATGAGTAACTCTGGGTCTGTACTAGATCCAATCCAGCTAAATATTATTTATGTTGAGACAACTGAAGTAAAATGATCATGGGGGACAGTCCTATAGTTTGTCAGCTCATGTAAGTTCCTCTGGAAGTAAAGTGGAGTGTATACCATGAATGTAGTTGCCCATACAAAGCAAAGCTTTACATTCTGGTTATCATCAAATATATATATATATATATATATATATATATATATATATATATATATATAGCTAGACAACGTATTAATCATATCCACAATGTAATGTGTGCATTAACAATGGATAATGTACTTTTACAAAGACCCATTATCTGCAATTTACTTGTGGGTATTTCATATGATAACTCTTAAGGTAATACAACTGTCAGTAAGTGGACAGTTGTATTTTTTTTTTTTTTGTGTGAGACTTTTCACTTCAAGTTATGCAAATGATTCGAAGCCAGATACAACAGCAGTCAGGCTGCAGTTTTATTCAGCTTATCATTTATATGTCCAATAAATCTCTACTGTGCAGGTTTTATTGACCAAAGGGGAGCGAATTTGCAGCAAATGGAGAAATTTAAGTATATATACTATATTGTATTATGTATTATCTAATAATGTTATCTAAAATATACTTAGTGGGCCCAATTCCACCCTGCAGCATTCTTTGTGCTAATCACAAAAAATATTACTGACAATTCCTTCACAAAACCTAACAACTTTATGTATTCTCCAAGAGACCCAGTTAAAACCAGAAATTACTACATTGAACCACTTGCAAAAGGGAACATATGATGACTCGCCTACTGCCCAAATCTTTTGAAAGAGTGGCTTAAAATTTCAAGTTTTCCATCTCTAGTTATGAAAGTCTTGCATGAACTGAGTGACATTAGAATATCATGCAGGAAACAGAATAGAATGTAGTTTGATTGTATGCTTTAATACATGCCTTATAAACATCTTCTGATTACCCGTGTTCACTAGTGGTATAGAATAATCTCATCCCTCTGTCATATATTAAAGAAAGCTTGTCAGATATGCTTCTGCCCTTTTTAAAATTAATTATAGCTCTGTTACTTTTTTTTTTAAAAGAAAAAGAAATTCGCATTATAATTTTGAGATGTTTATTATATACATTTGGCTGGCATTATTTATTACTGGCAGACAATTTTCACATCACTTGCTGAAGCAAATAGCTCTGTTCTGACACCTTGCAATTAGAGATTTAATGTGAAGACGCTTGTGTGGTCGATATTGTAGGCAATATTAATAATTAAATAATTGTTACTATATAATTATTTTCTAAACTGTAACAAACTGTCTTGGACAGGGTTGCCTGCCAAGCTGTGACCATAAGGAAAGATATTTCATGCTTGCCCTTACCTATTCTTATGCATTCTAAAAAGGTGTGATCTAGTCAGCAGTGATGTTTCCTTTATGTCTCATATTATTGTTGTATTATTTTCATTTAACCTAGTAGTACAACGTTTTTGTGGGACTTTTCAATTCAAGTTGTGCAAATGATTCAAAGCCTCAGTGATTTTGTGCTATTTTACAAACATTATTACTAGTTTTAATTTATAGAGCATACCTTTCTGTGCATTGCATGTAAAGAACATTAACATCCGCAGTGTCGTCCATGTCAACATGAAATGTTCAAGCATGTATTCCACTATTGAATGACTCATAGTAGAAGTAGAATGTCAAATTGATGGTACCTTTCCTCCTGCGGCTCTCACTGTTTATGCAGAAACAATTACTGTCATAAAAGTTTGTAGCCCCCGCCTTGTAATTCCCAAAGAGACTTTCACATTCAAGAGAGTAATTCAAAATGGATAGCGGCAAGACCAATCTCACTACTGCTCATTCAAAAAAAAAAAAATTCCTTTATTGTTTGCTTTGATAGACTTTGCATTGACAGGAGCATGGACTCTACATGTTAGAATGCCAGGGCAGCCAACTCGTTTCATACCTTCAGGCACTTTGTCAAGACCAAGTTTAACCCTTTAAGGACCAAACTTCTGGAATAAAAGGGAATCATGACATGTCACACATGTCATGTGTCCTTAAGGGGTTAAGGAGAATACAATAGCCACCCAGACCACTTTATCTCATTGAAGTGGTCTGGGTGCACTGTCCATGTACGCTTAACCCTGTAAGGTGAAGACTGCCTCTGGTGGCTGTTTCTGTGAAACTACCCTGGACATGAGGACATGGAGCATCTTCAAATCCCCCATAGGAATTTACTGATTCAGTGCTTTTCTATGGGGAAGGTCTAATGTGCACCCTAAATACTTGAAATGTAATCTGTCTGGGGTGCTGGAAGCTTCACCATTTAAAGGAAGGGGAGCATCACCTAAACCATTAAAAAAGCTGAAAGACTCTTAAATCCATTAAGAAGTAGATTTAATAAAACATCAATTTTAGACAGCACCCTCAAAGTGAATGCCTATCTCTTACACGGAAGATGTGTTGAATAACTAGTGCTAGAAACTATAACACAATATCCTATAACTATTAATGTGCTATTTTCACAATACATTAGATCACTTATTCAGCAGCATCATAATGGTAAGATTAGGTTTTTCTTTGTTTCTTTTCAAGCAATAGAGAAAGTTAACTGGTCTTTAAGGAGTGGTGACCTGTTCCACATGCTTTCCAAGTGGAAATGTTTAGGAGCTACCTATCTCCCCTAAGATTGAATGTGGAATGGGACATCTATTTAATTTTTTTGACAGTGCAGAGTTTTGTTTGTGCATATCTGTTGCATAGATAAAGGTTTTTGGTGTTATGGTGTGCTGTAGGTGTTTCTTAAATTCTTTTGGTATCTTAACTAATCAGGTACTAAAGTATTCTGACGCTTTAAGATTGATGTAATCAAGGATACCTACTCACCTTAATTTTAATAAATGTGAATATCTATTCAATATCATGAGAATCCTAAGGAGTTGAAAGGCTTGTGTGTATATACCCCAGAGGATATCTTTTCCGCTGGGTAATTGGGAAGGTGAGGTTTATGTATCTGAATCTGTCCCTCATGGTGGCCGCCATCTTCTTCTTGCCAGTCCTTTTCGGATCCTGGAGCTTCAGCTGCCACAAGCCCATGTCAGCATTGTTTTGGTTCAGAACTTTTGTAAGACAATTGCCTCTGTCATTACGGTATTTATTTTATTATTTATTTTAACATTATTCTCCCTTCCCACCTTCTTGCTTCTGGTTGGGTGGAGTGGGCAACAATCCCTGTTGACTCCCTCTTGCACCTTTGCCGGATGCAGACAATTCACGTGAGCTTTTGCACTATGTAGTATCTGGGCATTGACATGTTAACCCGTGGCAATTAATAGGCTGGGGGGAGTTATAATCTCTCTGCTTCTGATGGACTAAAAAAAATAATGCTTTTTCTACTTTTATCACTGACAAGAAGTGCTTTGCAGCTTGCCATATCTTTCAGACTAAAACATACTTTTTAAAGGTTGATTTGAAACTAAGAAACCTAATGTATTTCATGTTGTCAATACGATCTAAAATATAATAACTTTTATGTGTTGGAATGCTAGTAACGCACTAATTGCAAACTGAAATGCAGGTTCGTATTGGAAATCACATTTTCCTGTGCAGGTATACTGCTATTCAACAGAACATGCATAGTGTGATGCACTCACAGCACTGGGCTATGAAGTTACAGTAGTGACTCACAGCACTGGGCTACAGTTTAGTAGTGACCCCAGCTCTGGTAAATATTTCTAATACTAACCTGCATTTTTAAATTTTGCAGTTAAAACAATAGCATCAAAAAAAAATCTAAAACTAGTACCCCCCCCCTCTCCTCCAGGCTGACTGGAATCACAGACCATTCAACAGGCTGTGCATCTCCTGGAGTGGTACTCTTCTTTTCTCCTTCACTCATAACTGACAGGCTGCAAAACAGGAGGCAAACCGTTCATGATTATAGCTGGTATTTATTATTAGTAGTAGTAGTATTTATATAGCGTCATATATTCCATTGCGCTATACAATTATATAGGTGAAGAATGCCCTGAGCTAACAATCTAAAGATTTAAGGTAGGCAGATTTAAATTGTAAGTTGTCTTACCCAAGGACACTTACTGGTGAGGTGTCTGTCCTGGATTCAGTTTTCTATTGTTAAGGATATCCTGGTTATAATTATGCTTCCCTCCCTGCACATGTTCATTAAATGGTGCTATCGTAGCCTCTTACACATATACAACTCTGGGCTATGAAAGTACGGCTTAGTAGACATGCACAGGAAACATAACAATGTACAGATGTATTTGCTGCCTAAAAATCTTCATCTTACTATGGTGTCTCCAGGTTCCACTAGTTTTCAGCTCAGTGCCAAGTACTTTCAATGGCAGGATTTAAGGCTTTGTGTGTGTGTCTGTCTCTCTAAAGAGGCTGCTGTCCTTTAGTGCAGAGAGAATAATACTTTTTTTTTTTTTGCAAAAACTATGTATATTAGAGCAGAAGAATACAACACATGAATTAGGCCAAAACCTATGAAATCCATGTTTAGTTGGCAAAATGTCTGTAACACAAAAAATTGTGCTTTATGCCAGACCAACTTATTGAGGACTTTTTTGTTTTCTTAAGTTTCAAAAATGATTATACAGCTTTTGCTTAAACCTGTATAAAAGGTCCACTCGGGCTCCCATTTGCACCACAATAATGACGTTTTCAATGCTGTGGATCTCAAAATTCCTGAAAGCTATGCAGGCTTACATAATTGTTTTACTCTGGTCTGACCCACATCATGAAACTGTTGGGGGTAGCATTGTTGTAGAATATTCTGTGTAATACTCTACCATACCAAAGCCTTGCAGGAACATTTCATGGTTATGTATCCTAGAACTATTTGAATGTTAAGGTTGCATATTCAGACTGCAATGTTTACAATTAATTAAGAGACAGAAAACTATTGTAGTTGGAAATGAGGGGATTTCCATCATAGTAATCATTGAAAAATGTATTTCTAGAAGTGACTCGCACTGCAAACTTGTTCCCAATTACAAAAAAAAAAGACAAATCTAATGATAAAAAAAGACAAATTTAGTAGTGCAGTGCTCTGCAACTGGTGTCACAGCACTGGTCGTGACTGGGCAGCCCCCCCAGTGCTGGGAGGAACTTTTTTCCAGTCACCTGCACCCAGCTTACAGACCATGTGGAGGCTGGGAGGAAAAAGCAGGCACAGAAAGGGGAGGAGGGAAAACACTGCAGACTGCCTCAGACTCCCATCATCCCCAGTCAGTCCAGAAAACCACCCTCCTGCATCCAAAAGGCATGGAAGCGTGGGCTGCGCAACTTATGTAAATGTCAACTTGTATTTGTGTGTGTGTCTGTGTGTTTGTTTGTTTTTTATTATGGTGTGCGGAATTCTGGGAAGATCTTTGGTGTGCTTTGCGTGAGAAAATATATATGTATGTGTGTATATATATTTTTTTCCAACAGTTAAATGTATTCATTAAAATATAAGCGTTTTTGGACATAGTTTCCCTTTAACAACAGTGTTAGACGACTTCTGTTTCTGCTACTGAAGAAAAATCCTCCCATTTTTAAACCTTGAATACACACTTCAAATACTGTTTTTGTATATTTATATTTAACTGAAAATGTCTTGCCTTTTTTACCTTTGCAGATGTTGTGAAACCACACAGCGTTCCTATGAGTGTGCCCACAGAGGTTCCCTTGCCTGTAAGTTCAGAACCTTCTAGCCAATCATCACTCCATGGACCCCTTCCTCCCCCCTATCAGCTTATCAACGTCCCATCTTTGGAACCTTCCATTAGCCAAGAAGATCCCCAGGACTACCTTCTATTAATCAACTGCCAAAGCAAGAAACCAGTTCCCTTTAGGTAAATCTTTTTACATTTAATCTTGCATTTGTAAAAATGGTTATAAGTACTTGTAGGTCATTTCAATACAAAGGTGATTTTTATTTTAAAAAATTGCGTGGGAGGTGGCTTTTTATATAGTTTAAGGACATAGTTTGGCTCTGTAGTGGAGCCATGTTCACATGTCCCTTTTTGCTAAGTGTGGTACTATGTGTCATTTAGTTAGCTGGCTATACGATCTAGTTTGGTCATCACAGAGGCAGGCATAGAGCGCAATAATGCCATTCTTAAAGAAACGGCAGTGGTTTACATTGTCTGTGCAAAAGGGGTTATGGTGCTTAGTGTACCTGTAATATCACAGCTCCAATGCTTCCTTTTTAAATGAGTTGTCAATGATGCTTGGTCCTGGTTCTATCAAGTAGGTGGAAGGTTTGAAATCTCGCATAACGAAATCATGCATAGATCTTCTGTTGCAAGTCCTTCTGTCCACTTGATGGTACCTGCCCCCATTTTGCAAATGGTAATGTTATTAGTCGATATTGCTGTATTATTTAGGTTTTTAGAATACTTCAGTATGTGATATATTATATTTATTTATTATGTGTTATATATTTAGTGGAAGTCATTTCTTTTTTTAACCTGTATTATTTTAGAAAACTTTGTTTAAGGTAACACTTCAAGAACCATGATCACTAGAGCTTGCTGTAGTTGTTACGTGATCACTAGAGCTTCCTGTAGGTGTGCTATGGTGCCCCCCCTCATGAGAACCAATTTAGAACTGTTTGACTTATGAGGTTCACCAGTCATCGCTCCCCATTTTCCTGTTAAGAGTTATATTAGTTCCATTAGTGACCTGCAGGGTCAGCTCAATGGTTGAGAGTGTCAGCTGATTGCTCTCAGCCAATGATCTAAGCCTTGCACTGCCGTGCTTTGCTTGGGCAGAGAGCTTCAGGCTCACATGCAGGTTAAATAGAGGCAGGAGGTAGCACCCATTGATCCCCAGGTAAAATGTCAGACTGTTCTAGAATGGTTACTAGTTACTAGTTGGGATGGTGCAAGGGCACCTTTGGCACAAGAACCACTACAGCGCACAGTAGTGGTTAGTGTGCTTGGAGTGTTGCTTTAGAAACGTATTTTGGGGTATTTAAATAAGTTATAATCTTTCAGGAAAAATGAATGACCTCATCTGCTAAATCTATTTTGGCTACTTCACTGCTGTAGTGGCAACTTGCTGTTAATGGATGCAGCTCGGAAGTAACGCAAACATGCAAATAAGTGACAGTCTCTATAAACCATAGGGACTCACTATGGATTCTTATTGGGAAAATAGCAGAGATACCTTAACAAAGCCCAGTGAATAACCCTCCCTTCCAAAATAATAAATAGGTACTGGTATATGGGTTGATCTACAAATTGTGCCCTTTCTTTCTTGTGCTTGGGAATGAAGGACATTTAATAGCTGAGTGTGGAGCCCTGTTGCCCCCAACTCTTTCCACCATGTAAAATTCCAATGTCCACTGCCCATGAGTTGGGAGAAAGTGTAGTGGTGGTTGTTATTGATTACCCTCCACCATTTCTTAAGATGGATAAAGAGGAGAGCAGTTTTTTTAAATCCTCTTTACTCTTAGTGGGATCCCTCTGCCTATACAAAAAAATTCTGCTTTTGATATATTTTTCTTTCGTACAATCTAATAGTGAGTAGATCACCATGTTTTTAAATGATACTTAGTACTCTACAACATATGACATTTACATTTCGACATTTACATAATTTTTCATTCTTATATAATCATTTGCAAATCAGGAAAGATTCTTCATCCATAGCATCAGAAGACGAATATCTACTACTAGAGGATTTTGAAAGCAAAAAGGTTTCTTGGCAGTGAGTGTTTAGTGGTTTAACTGTGAGCCATATTGAAAAATTCACATTGCATGGATATTGGGTGCTGTGAAATGAACATTCATTGGGTTACATTGGCTTTTTTATACTAACTCTCCAATATTACATTTAAATTCTACTGCACTATATAGGATTGATTCTTCCGGTTTAGTTTTTAACAATATTACAGTAGGGATTGTACCTAATTGGGCGTTTCAAGGGCAGGGACAGCTTGAATCCACATTAGGCAACATTACCTTGCCTAATATGCATTGCAGGAAATTGTCCAGTTCTGCAGGTCAAAATGTGAAGAATGTAGCTCCTCGTTTAAGTTCTTTTTCCAAAGGGACTACTGAACGCATGCTATTTTCATGTATTGTACTGCCACAAACACTGGAAGATAAAGAGGCTCTGGCACCAGGAAAAAAATGGAGCATTTCTCATTAAGACTGAGTTGGAATTTCATTGCAATTCCAATACAGTCAAAAGAAATCATAAGACTAATTAGGGACTACTTTGTCCTATAGCCAACTACCACGCTCACAATACTAGTTACCATTGTCCAGTTTTGTCACTTACCCCAGCAGTCGATGGTGATAGCTGTGATGACTCATTATCTTGCTCATTGCAAGATAATATATATGAAAAGTCTTGCAGGATTCTTCATAAACATCAGTGTTGTACTCTGGTGCATGCGTGACAGTACAGCACTGATGTGGGCTTAGGAAGATGAAGCGCCAGGACTTGAAGAAAGAAGATGGTGGTGCTCAAATCAGACGGCATCAGGTAAGTACAACTCACCTGCGCTGTACCCCTTTGCCACTCCAGCCTAAGCAGCAATGTCACCAAAATATTCAAAGTCCTCAGAAATTGGCAGAACTGCTAAAAAAAAAACCCTGTTATTTTACAATTTAAATGCTCTCATTTGCCCTGTTGCTTCCCCTTCTCCTACCAACCTGTCTGCCTCAAACTTTGCAACTCACTTCACTGAGAAGATTTCTACAATCATGGAAGAGATCTCTAACCTCTCTCCCTCCCCTTCCAATACATCACCCAACCCCACTCACTCCACTGTTCTATGCTCATTCGCACCTACTACAACAGAAGAGCTTTCTGCTCTGCTCCGGTCCTTCCACCCCACCACCAGTTCCCTCAATCCTATTCCCTCATATCTCATCCGCACTTTGTCTCCCTCTCTTGCTGTTCCTCTCACTAAAATTTTCAATCTCTCCCTTTCCTTCGACACATTTCCTTCACACTTCAAGCATGCAACCATAATTCTGAAAAAGCCCAACCTTGATCCCACATCCAACTACCACCCTATATCACTACTGCCATTTACCTCCAAGATCTTTGAGAGAGTTGTGTATGCGAGATTGACAGACTTCCTCGAATCCAGCTCTCTGCTTGACCCACTTCAGTCTAGATTCCGCACTCTGTTGAAACAGGTGTGACCAAAGTATCCAACGATTTAATCGCTGCTAAATCTTGCGGCTATTACTCTATCCTAATTCTCTTTGATCTTTCTGCTGCCTTTGACACTGTTGATCATCAACAGCTTCTTCTCATTCTCCATAATCTCGGTTTACGAAATACTGCTCTTTCCTGGTGCACCCCCTACCTTTTCCAGCGCCTTTTCAGTGTTTCTTTCTCTGACTTTGCCTCTTCTCCCCAACCCCTCTCTGTTGGCGTTCTGCAAGGTTCTGTCCTTGGTCCCCTACTGTTCTCCATCTCTACTGCCTCCCTTGGTAAACTCATCAGCTCCTTTGGCTTCCATTATCATTTATATGCAGATGACATGCAAATCTACCTTTCCTCTCCTGATCTCTCTCCGCCCATCTTGACTCGTGTCTCTGACTGCCTCTCCGCGATTTCCAACTGGATGGCTGCTCACTTCCTTAAACTCAACCTGTCCAAAACAGAACTTCTGGTCTTTCTTCCCTCAAGTATTGCTACTCCCATGTCTGTCTGTCTCCAAGTCAACAGCACCACCATCACCTCTACCTCGCAGGCTCACTGCCTAGGTGTTCTGTTTGACTCCAACCTCTCCTTCACCCCTCATTTCCAGTCGATTGCCAAATCCTGCCACTTAAATCTCAAAAACATAGCTCGGATCCGCTTCTATTTAACAATAGACCCGGCTAAGGTGCTGGTCCATGCCATTGTTCTTTCTCGCCTTGACTACTGCAATCCCCTTCTCAGTGGTCTTACGTGTTCCCATATTGCACCACTGCAATATATAATGAATGCGGCGGCAAGGCTCATTTTCCGGTCCGCCCGCACCTCCCACGGCTCCACCCTTAGTCCCTACATCGGCTTCCAGTTAGACATAGGGCTCTGGTGCTTGCTTACAAGTCCCTACATAATGCTGCTCCAACCTACCTATCCTCTTTAATACACAAGTGTGTCCCACTGAGGCCTCTGCGTTCTGCCGAAGACCTACGTCTATCCTCTGTCCGTACTCCCACATCTGATGCTCGCCTCCAAGACTTCTCCAGGGCTGCATCTTTTCTGTGGAACTCTCTTCCCTTCTCCGTAAGACTTTCACCCAGTCTCCACTCCTTTAAAAAAAATCTTTGAAAACACACTTCTTCAGGAAAGCATATCATTTAAACTGTTAGCAGGTTTTCATTTTCCCTCCCCCCACCCTCCATGACTCCTTTCCTGCAACTGTCAAAAATAAGTTCCCAGTGAATAAATTTCTAGCAACTTCTTTCATTACCCCTACTTATACCATTTGTGTCACTATTCCCCACTCCCCTATCACGAAAGCTTATTGAGCAGGGCCCTCAACCCCTCTGTTCGTGTGCGTCCATTTGTCTGGTTACAATTACGTGTCTGTTAGTCCACCCATTGTACAGCGTTACGGAATTTGCTGGAGCTATATATAAAAAAAAAAAAATAATCGAAACTACTGAGCATGTCTAATGTGCTTTTCATGGAAAGAAGAAAACTAGCTTTGGGCCAGATGTATCACAGATTTTTTTTTTATAATGCAGCTACCCTACAGCATTTATGACCTGTGCTTGGCACTGGTTCCTTAGCATTGGTAGTATCTCCTGCTATACAGGAGCTCTTCGTATTCGTTATTTGTCCAAACTAAAAATATTGAACATAGGCTGACTCAGGATAATCTGGAGACTTTCCCGATTGTCTAACACCAGCATGTTTGTGAGATTTGTTTGTTGGAGGTACTAACAGTCATGCTTGGGACATCAGTAGATATGCACTCTTTCACTGCAGGTAGGCACGCTAATTGCTGTTTGGCAATCCACTTGTTTTTTCACAGTATCCATCTACTATATAAGAAAAACAATATATATATATATATATATATATATATATTTATTTATATTGTGTATGTGTGTATGTATATACACACAACGATCACATTAAAATGCCTCTGGAGAAATACTATAGCTTCTGGCAAGGAAAACATGACCCTGAATCTCTTTTATAATAACTTTAGGTAGAACATATAGTATATTTGTAAATGTACCCTGCGATGAGCAAATGAACAGTTGAAAATGCTGGCTTTGGGTGGAGATTAACAATTAATATGCATATCATCCTATAAAACGTATCTCAGTTGATCTCAATGGTTTGTGTATTTCTGCATGCAAGCTCCCAACAGTGCAGTTGTACCTATCCCACATTGCATTGTCAGTGGCATACTGATATAAAACTTTTATGTTGCAGCATTAATTATTTTTTTTTATTTACAGTGCAACCATCTCATATTTTTAACAAGATATTCACTTTTCTAGTGCACTGCAGTTTGCAAACACTTTATGCTTAATAAAATCCTCACTGACAAAGAGACACTTTAGGGTTGGAAGTGACTCTTGATTTTAATGCATTGGATTAAAAATAAAACTAAACAATAAGGAATGGAGACAGGATAAATGATAGTGTCCTGCAGAGTGGTAGTTGCCTCGTTATAGAGGGGTGACCTTGGGATAGGTTGGGCTCGGGGAGATCACAAAAGAGGAAAGATAATTAAAACTTCACTTTTAATGTAAATAGTTAAAAGGGGGGTATACAAACACATTTTAGTTCAAATAACTGTTGTAAGAAATCCTCAAGTGATACAGTTACACTGCCTGTTAACAGAGTGAAATGCCACTGTGGGAACAACAGCTACAAATTAGTAGTGTCAATAATGTATCGATATACCAGTGGGCTCAAGGAAAAATAGCCAAGTCCCAGTGAGCTGCACTGAAGCTGTTAACAAAGCTGATAACAAGGTTTACCAAAACTGCAGTGTCTGGACTCCAAAACAAGCTTGAGAGTGCCAATATACTGCAGAAAAGAGCATCTCAGCCAGTTCCTGCAGAATCTACCAGGCAACATTTTGCAGTTTGCACCTCCTAGTTACCATACTGCAGATACTCCCACCAGCACATACCTCTAGATGCTATTTCTCACGGTCGTTAACACAGGACCCTGTCATCATTTCTGAGATGCTCTTTTCTGCAGTATACTGGCACTCTCAAGCTTGTTTTGGAGTCCAGACACTGCAGTTTTGGTAAACATTGTTATCAGCTTTGTTAACAGCTTCAGTGCAGCTCACTGGGACTTGGCTATTTTTCCTTGAGCCCGGGTACTGGTATATCGATACATTATGGACACTACTAATTTGTAGCTGTTGTTCCCACAGTGGCATTTCACTCTGTTAACAGGCAGTGTAACTGTATCACTTGAGGATTTCTTACATCAGTTATTTGAACTAAAATTTGTTTGTATACCCCCCTTTTAACTATTTACATTAAAAGTGAAGTTTTAATTATCTTTCCTCTTTTGTGATCTCCCCGAGCCCAACCTATCCTAATCTCACCCCTCTATAACGAGGCAACTACCACTCTGCAAGACACTATCATTTATCCTGTCCCTTCTCCTGTCTCCCTTCCTTATTGTTTAGTTTTATAGTGCATTTCGTTGCACTAGGGGTTAACCCCCACTCTGGAGTAAGATTATTGTACTATCTTCCTTCCCCTTGCTTGTTGGATTAAAAATAGGCACAAAAAAAATAATAATTAAAGAAAGAAAAAGCGGAATATATAAAATAAACAAACAATACAGTTACATGTCTTAAAGCTGCTACATTTGTACAGGCAGGTAAATGTTTGTTGGCAGTAGACTCTAATTCTGATCTCTATTTTTATTATCTTCTCAGCAGGAAGAACTTGCATATCCCATAAGCCATAAAACCTGGCTTCAGCTACTGTCCTACTCACCAAATCCTATGAGTGGAACTGCTGTGTAAGCTGTTAACAGTGCTCACCTGTGGAGGGCAGGCATGTGCATTCAAAGCTCGCACAACTGTCTAAGAAATGGTCTCACCCTCTTTAATAAAATAAAATAAATTCTTATTGTTAAAATTTTAAAAAGTGTTTGTAATCCGTGGTGCACTTGGTAGTTACTGTTACCCCTGGAATATGTATTTAGATCTCTTTTGTCATATATATTCTTTCTTTAGATCACATATAGATTCTGCAAAGTCAACCACATCTGAAACGGACTGCAATGACAACGTCCCTTCACACAAAGGTTCCAAAAATGCAGTCAACGGGTACTTCCAGCAGCCTAGTGTTTATGACTCTCCATCTCGCACAGGCTCAACCTCCACAGAAGCCAGTTTCTATAATCTTCCCAGAAGCTACTCTCAAGATGTTTTAACAAAAGCTGTTTCTCCATCTGGTACAGATGCAGAAGTGGATTCAAATGTTTTTAACATGTCTGGGGCTTCCCTGTTAGATGGACAGTTTAGGAATTTATCAATAAGCTATGACATCCCCTCTTCATCTGCAAGTTCATACCAAATACCCAGAACGGTTCATGAAGGCTTTGTGGGGCAACCTTCATCAAAATTAGAGACTGTTTCAAATGTTCCACCACCCAGACCTCCAAAACCTCAACATTCGTCAGAACGGTCCCCATGTGAGTTTGGTCTTACCCGCACTGCTTCAGAGACTGACAATAACTACTGTGTTCCTTCATCTGGAATATCGGCGCCACGTAGTAATACTATTTCCACATTAGAGTTAAGCAAATATAGGAAAGGTAAGACTTTTTGTTGTTCCCACCTATAACTACCTGGCTTTTAAAAATACTCTGTGTATGAGTGTGATGCTACCCAGGGCCGGCCTTAGGCCTTCAGGCGCCCTGTGCGAAAAATCTTAACAGCCACATCCATGTGTATAGGGGATTTATTAAATGAAAATTTAACAATTAACAAATATTTATCACCTCTTCCCTGTCATTACCTTGCATGGAGGGAGGGCATGCTGATCTCTGGTGATACAGTTTGCTGGGAATATGGTCGGTGCCTTCACTGGGTGCAGACCATCAGCAACTGTCTCCTGAGCTCAGGCACTTACAGTATCAGAGCTTTCCTGTGGTAAAACGTTCTGATTGGCCGGAACTCGGAAGACAGCTACATTTATCATGTGTGTGTCAGACGTGATTGTGTGATGTGTTCTCTGTGTGCCATATTTGTAATGGGTGTATTGACTGTGTCTGATATGTGTGTGTATTGACCGTGTGTGATTTTTGTTCACTATAGCAGTAGATAAGGGGAGCAGTGTCACTAGGGTAGACAGGGAACAATGGCAATATAGGGGGAGCATGGGCACAATAGGGATGGATAAGGAGCATGGGCACTATAGGGGTAGATGGAGGGATCAGGTACACTATAGGGGTAAATGGGGAAGCACTATAGGGGTAGATGGGGAGCAGGGGTGCTATAGTGGTAGATCGAGGAGCAGGGGCACTATAGAGGTAGATAGGGGGAACTATAGAGATAGATGGGGAACATGGGTACTATAGGAGTAGAGGGGGCACTATAGGAGTAGAGGGGGCACTATAGGGGTAGAGGGGGGCACTATAGGGATAGATGGGGAACAGGTGTACTATAGGGGGAGCAGGGGCACTATAGGGGTAGAGGGGGAACAGGGGTACTATAGTGGGAGCAGGGGCACTGTAGGGATAGATGGGAACAGGGGTACTATAGGTGTAGATGGGGGCACTATAGGGATAGATGGGGAACAGGGGTACTATAGTGGGAGCAGGGGCACTGTAGGGATAGATGGGAACAGGGGTACTATAAGGGGAGCAGGGGCACTATAGGTGTAGATGGGGGCACTATAGGGATAGATGGGGAACAGGGGTACTATAAGGGGAGCAGGGGCACTATAGGTGTAGATGGGGGCACTATAGGGGTAGAGGGGGCACTATAGGTATATATGGGGAACAGGGGTACTATAGGGGTAGAGGGGGCACTATAGGGAACAGGGGTACTATAGGGGTAGAGGGGGTCACTTTAGTGGTAGAGGGGGAACAGGGTTACTATAGGGGTAGAGGGGGGCCCTATAGGGATAGGGAGCACTATAGGGGTAGATGGGGAACAGGGTTACTATAAGAGTAGAGGGGGCACTATAGGGATAGATGGGGAACAGGGTTACTATAGGGGTAAAGGGTGCACTATAGGGGAAGAGGGATAGATGGGGAACAGGGTTACTATAGGGGTAGAGGGTGCACTATAGGGGAAGAGGGGGGCACTATAGGGATAGATGGGGAACAGGGTTACTATAGGGGAAGAGGGGGGCACTATAGGGATAGATGGGGAACAGGATTACTATAGGGGAAGAGGGGGGCACTATAGGGATAGATGGGGAACAGGGTTACTATAGGGGTAGAGGGGGGCACTATAGAGATAGATGGGGAACAGGATTACTATAGGGGAAGAGGGGGGCACTATAGAGATAGATGGGGAACAGGATTACTATAGGGGAAGAGGGGGGCACTATAGGGATAGATGGGGAACAGGGGTACTATAGGGGAAGAGGGGGGCACTATAGGGATAGATGGGGAACAGGGTTACTATAGGGGTAGAGGGGGGCACTATAGGGATAGATGGGGAACAGGGTTACGATAGGGAAGAGGGGGCACTATATAGATGGGGAACAGGGTTACTATAGGGGTAGAGGGGGGGCACTATAGAGATAGATGGGGAACAGGATTACTATAGGGGAAGAGGGGGGCACTATAGGGATAGATGGGGAACAGGGGTACTATAGGGGTAGAGGGTGCACTATAGGGGAAGAGGGGGGCACTATAGGGATAGATGGGGAACAGGGTTACTATAGGGGTAGAGGGGGGGGCACTATAGAGATAGATGGGGAACAGGGGTACTATAGGGGGAGCAGGGGCACTATGGTCTCACTTACCAGGCAGCAGATTCAGGCCTCGGTTAGCTCCGCCCCCGCCGACCACTTGGCTCCCCCCCCATCGGCTGCTTGGCTCCGCCTCCTACAGTCTCTTTCGCTGCTAAGCCCTGATAGAGGGCAGGGGGTGTGCAAGCTGTCAGCCATAGGGCGCCACCTGCTGCCATGGCGCCCTGTGCGGCCGCACAGCTCGCACACCCCTAAGGCCGGCCCTGATGCTACCTCTAAAGTTATATTATCGTTTGCTGCTTTATGAAAGTTGTCTTATGATATGGAACACATTAGTTATTATGAGAACGTAAGTTAGTATTATCACCCATGTTCACTGTTTAAAAGATATATTTTTTTTTCTTAAAGTTTTGCAATAGTGCTTCAAATGGAAGAATGCATAAGCAATTTGTGTGCACTCTCAATGCATTACTTATAAAAAGTTTACCACTTAGACCACGTGGTCTCCTATTCTTTTGAAACTTAAAAGATTAATGGGCATGCTTAGTTGCATTCCTAAAAACAGATTATGCTATGTTGTACCGTGATAAAAAAAAATAAAAAAAAATAAACATTTATTTTTTTTACTGTTTCTTAAAACATTGTATGTTTCTTCTCTGTTTCTAGATATGAGTTCTCAAGATTTCTATGATATACCAAGGCCATTTACTAGTGACAGATCCAGCTCACTTGAGTGCTTTCACAGCCATTTTGTAAGTAAAAGAGCGTGCTACTGTGCATCAGCCATACAGATTTAATTGATTTTTTTTTAACTCATTTTCTTCTTTTGCATAATTAATAAAATTTTTGAATCTTTGTATTCCTTACAGTAAAGTGTTCCTTTAAACCTGGGGTCCTCAAACTCCGGCCCCCCAGATGTTGCTGAACTACAACTCCCATGATTCTCTGGCTATCTATGTAATTCAAAGAATCATGGGAGTTGTAGTTCAGCAACATCTGGGGGGCCGGAGTTTGAGGACCTCTGCTTTAAAAAATGTAAACAATGCTTAACACTTACCCATTTCCAGTTTCAGCAGACCATTCTGTGTCTCTGCAGATTTTGTACATGCATCTATCACCTGTTTTGGTAACCCTGCTTGAACTGAAGCTTACTGAATACATTTCTTTCTAAAAGTGCTACTTTGAGCATACTTTATTCAGGCCTTTACAAAAAAAAATAATGGCTATTAAAACTTTAACAAAATTTACATTCTAGCACCAAGTCTTGGCAAAATAATGTGTTTGAAAATGATTAAATAACAGGGTGTAGTGGATCTTGAATACATTTTCTTTCATTCCAGTACTTGATAAATTTCTTCTTGGTCATAGTTTACAGTGAATTTGTGTACCTCCATGTCATTACCTGTTTATTCAAGTTTAGCGTTGATGGCTATTACAAAATACTAGTGCATATATAGCATGTATCTTTCTTTACATCAAAACTATAAGTACAGAAACAACTTTAGTTTAATGGACATGATTTAGTGTGTAGGTCATGCCCCTGCAGTGACTGCTAAATTCTTTGTCATTTAGAAGTTAAATCACTCTATTTATGCAGCTCTAGTCACACCTCCCTGCATGTTCCCCTACAAATTTACTGTAAAGAGAGATCTAATGTTTAAACTTAATTTATTTCACAGTCTGTTTAATGTAGAGTTTAGTATCCCCTGTTCTGTTAGTAGCCTGCTAGAGCCTGCCAGAGCCTCCTGTGTGTGATTAAAGTTCAATTAACGCAAAAGGAGATTTGTGCTGTCAGATCTGATTGAAAATAATTTATAAAAAAACACAGCCAGGGAGGTGTGGCTAAGGCTGCAAAATGAAAATAAAAGATATTTAACTCCCAAATGGTGCAGAATTGAGCAGTGAGACTGCACGGGAATGATCTATACACTAAAACTGTTTAATTCAGCTAGCGTTGTTTTGGCGCTTAGAGTATCCCTTTAAAAAGTTGGAGCCTGCTAATGATGATCCGGCTAGTGGTGGTGATTAATTGACCTTAATTGCTTTTTACTCCACAATGTTGGTTACAGACCACCATCTGTAGGATTGGAAGTTTACTACTGTTATCAGACAAATGAAAGAATAAATAAAATAATAAAAAAATAAATATATATATATATATATATATTTTATATGTATGTATGTATATATGTATTGGTTTTCTTTTATTTTGTAAAAGAAAAAAAGCCAACCTCTTTTTTTGTGACTTAAAACAACACTTTCAAAAAAACACCAAAACAAGTTTTTATTGTATTGTATTGTATTAATTTTTTTTTAAATTTATTTATTGTTAAATTACCTTTTAATGTAAGACTGCTGGAAGTATTCTATCCTTACTAGTTAAAGCAAATATTCACCTCAGCAGATATATCATTTTTTAATATATATTTTTATTTTTGTACTACAGAAAAACAAAAGCATGTTGGCAGTAGGAAGTTTTTCCAATGAAGAATTAGATGAAAACTATGTACCCATGAACCCAAACTCTCCTCCTCGACAGCATTCCAACAGCTGTACTGAACCCATCCAGGAAACTAACTATGTCCCAATGACTCCAGGCACGTTTGATTTTTCAGCGTTTGGAATGCAAGTGCCACCTCCAGCTCACATGGGTTTTAGATCCAGTCCAAAGACATCTCCTAGAAGGTCTGTGCCATCTACAGACTGCGAACCTCCACCAGTGAACCGAAACCTAAAGCCTGATAGGAAAGGTAAGCTGGGCCTTCAGAGACAACTGCTGCTTCTACAGAGCAATGCTGCTAGCTATTGCTAATTGCATAACCTACTGTATGTATTGCAACAAAAGACTTGCTAAAATAATTAAAAAGGTACGTGTCAAACAAAACTCACCCTGACTTTGCAGTCTTCCCTCATAGAAGTATAGCTCTAGAAATTTATGTAAATGTATAATTTGTGAGGATTGTATTTATAATAAATAATAAAAAGGTGCTGACATTTATTGTCTGAAAGATAAAAATAACTAAGCAGGAAATCCATATTGGTCATTGATCTGTTCAGTAACACAGATAGGAGCAAGTTTTACATGTAAAAGTAACTGAAAAGGTGAATATTACATAGTCACTGTCTGTGATATTCTTTCCCATTTCTTGATGTACTTTTACACCTCTTCTATCATGGCAGCAATAGAAAATTAAAGTTGTGCTTCGTATTTTGAAAAGAACATTGCGAGTACTGTAACCACTACATTGTAAGTTGTCAAATTGCATGACAACTTACCTCAGATCTGTGTGCCAGTCACCTATTTCAAGAGAACCACTATTTTGAGCTAAGCCTGGCAGTGCAGTGGTTATCACATTGGCTGAAAGTGGTCAGCCGACTCTCTCAATGGAGAAAGTGATGGGCGCTTAGCATAACCATGTAAGTTGTCGAACTGTTGGCAAATGATTTACTTCCATGGGGGGGCAGGGCCCTCCTGGCACCACAACCACTACTATGCTTTGGAGTGCTCCTCTAATGGCTCATATTCAGCTCCTCTCACTATGACTTCCTAATCTTCTTGTTTCAATTCTCTGCCATTTAGGAGTTAAATCACTTTTGTTTCTGTTTATGCAGCACTAGCCACATCTCCCCTGGCTGTGACTTAACTCCTAAATGGCAGAGAATTGAGCAGTGCGGGGCATGATCTATACACCAAAATTGCTTTATTAAGGAAAGATATTGCTCTCTCCTGGTGCTCCTCCTACCTCTCCCAGCACTCTTTCAGTGTTTCTTTCTCTGGCTCTGCTTCTTCTCCCCAACTCCTCTCTGTTGGTGTCCCCCAAGGTTCAGTCCTTGGTCCCCTACTGTTCTCTATCTATACTGCCTCCCTTGGTTAAACTCATTAGCTCCTTTTGCTTCCAATATCATTTCTATGTGGATGACATGCAAATCTACCTGTCCTCTCTTGATCTCTCCCGTCCCTCTTGACCAGTGTCTCTGACTGCCTCTCTGCTTTTTCTAACTGGAACGCTGCCCACTTCCTTAAACTGATTCCTCTCTTGCAACAATCAAAAATAACCCAAGTTCTCAGTGAATACTTTTCTAGCAACCTATTTCATAACCCCTACTTATACTCTTTGTCTTACTTTATCGCACTCACTCTAGCATGTAAGCTCATTGAGCAGGGCCCTCAATCCCTCTGTTCCTGTGTGTCCAACTTGTATGGTTACAACTACATGTCTGTTCGTCCATCCACTGTAAAGCGCTGCAGAATTTTTGGGCGCTATATAAATAACAACATAATAATAATGTCAGCTGTAAGCAGGCAGTTTAGAGGCAGCAGCTGCAGACTTAAATACAAGTAAGATTTTACTATATTTATGGAGGCAAGGGAGGCCAGAGGGGGCTAGATAGTAGTTTTAACACTATAGGGTCAGGAATACATGTTTGTGTTTCTGACCATATAGTATTCCTTTAAGATGCAGTGTCTGGAAACTGCTTTTCTTGCACCACATGCCTATAGGTTTGCACACTTCAGAAATGTTCCATATTGAGCACACTATTATATACGTTAAATGAACACTCAGAGCACCATAACCACTACAGCCCACTGAGGTTATGGTATCAGGAGTACTCTGGCGCTTTACCATGTTCTGCTATGGTTTGACAACTTGCCTGGATCACTCTGGGCATGTATGGCTACAGTCCCTGCTCTTGGTATTCTCCTACAGGAGAATCTGATTATCTCTGCTTATTGGCCTTATTCCTGCTGCAGCAATAAATTGTCACTCTTAAAAGAGTACTTCCTCCTTTGCCATCCATCTTCAGACACTTGCTTGTGCAAGAGCTGCAGATTAAGGATATTTAAAGGATTTATTTTGTCTTTCTAATTATTTGTATAGCTAATGTATTAAATTAAGGCACTTTGAGTATATTGTGTTCCTTAAAAAAAATAATCCAAACACATAAAGCACTTAAACTTCCTGAAGTACTTTGTTTAAAGAGTGTTTTGTTCTCACATTTTTATTTTATTAAATGGCCTTTTTCAGTAGACTTTTTTTTTTTTTTTACGTTTTATTTTTATATTATTAATTTATAAATGAACCTTACACCTCCTTCCTTACCGGTCATAAAGCCAATCCTGTTACTTCCTGGTAGTTTAGCTCAATGGCAGTCAGAAGGTGACTAGATGTACTTTCTCATTAAGACCTTCTATTTTCAAAGGTCTTCACTTTCAACATTATCACAAAGGGCATGATGATGCCTATTGCAGCTTATCCTTCTGATAGAGAAACATTAGGGTGATGGATTGCAGCAATTGCTGCACATGTGCCATTGGTCTGGAATGCTTCTCTATGGGAAACCTGTTATTAGACTCAAGATTGATGATCTCGCCATGAGCTGATTGGGTTGCAATGAGGAACTGTCCCGGTACAAGAATATAGCTAAGCTTAATAGTTTTGGTTTTTTTTTCTTGCGAAATAAACAATATAACTTAAAAATAAATATATATTTTTTACAGCATGTTGTTCGTTTAATAGATGTAAAAGAAAACCGAGTACCACATAAAATTTGTAGAAGAGTTTTGTGGTTTTATTCAATTGTGTATTTTCCAGTCCCTGTTTAATAACTGCACACTAATGCATTTATTTTCAGGTTTTAAATCTACTGCTACGGAAGGAGCAATTTTGAAACCATATTTTACAGTGACCTTGTTTTTGCAGCAAACTCTAAATTTAAATTGTTTTTTCTTCTAAGTCAGTGGTTCCTAGTCCTTTTTCTTTCCTTTTCTTTCCTGCTTGATAACCCATTTTTTTGCGATTGTTAACCAATGTCCGTGAATCTTTCTTCAAATGCATTTTTATGTATAGTAGAATAAATTCTGCAAAATATCTACATTAATCTTTTACCCGTCTTTTTCCTAAAGATTAAATGTTGTTGTTTAGGAATCTTAGTTGGCAACTTTTCAAAGAAAACTAAAAGGCAACTTAATTTTTATTTGTAACGCTATGTTTTGAATGCTTTTAATCCACTGCCAGATTTGTGGCACTATTTAATAGTCTGTTCTAAACCTCCTACTTGCTAAAGTAGTTTTTTTTATTTTTTTTATTACCGTGTGTGTTTATTCTGTTGTGAATACACAAAGTATACCACAATATAGTTGCTCAATGTTCATGTTAATATTGATATTTAACCATTTCCCCAAGTAGTTAAGTCAATAAAAGATATTCAAAAATTTTGACAGTAGAATGAGCAAGTAGCATTGGTAAACACTGCTAAACAAAACTGACAATGTTTAACAATAAATCATGCAATCTTTTTGTAATTATGACACAATGACTAAAAAACAGTCAGTAAAACCTGATTAGTTTGTTGCATTCTCTGATTTAATACAAATATTTTATTCAGGAAACTATTTAAAGTAAATAAGTGTCGTTAAAGGACCACTATAGTGCCAGGAAAAGATACTCTTTTTTTTTTGGCACTATAGTGCCCTCCTGCCGGGCTCTAGGGTGAGGAAGGGGTTAAACTTACCTCTCCTCCTCAGCTGAATGCGCATGCGCGGCAAGAGCCGCGCGTGCATTCAGCCAGTCTCATAGGAAAGCATTCAAAATGCTTTCCTATGGACGCTGGCGTCTTCTTTTCTGCTATGTTTACAGAAAAAAGGGTTAACCCTAGCTGGACCTGGCACCCAGACCACTTCATTAAGCTGAAGTGGTCTGGGTGCCTATTAGTGGTCCTTTAATTTTGTAAATGATTTATTGAAACTTCAAATTCTACCTGCCTGGGTATACATTAATTAGATCAATTCGGGAAACTCCACTTGGACTTGATATAAAATACCACTATCCATCTAACTGATATGCTCTACCCAACCCTGGACTTTGAAAGTTCTAGGTTTTTTTGTTTTATATTTTTGAATGTGGTGCAGCTTATAACCTACAATAAGAAATTTCTTTTTCAACAGCAAACCATGTTTAAAAATAAAAATCTCCGCAAATGGGTCAAAATGAAGAATAATATAATACACATGTAAATATTGTTCTATGAAAAAAAAGCTATGACTTAATGACTAAATGCAAGTTTGGAATAAAAGCATTTAGAACATAGATGTTATTTACAAACAGCAGTTCTGAGGCAGTTGTAAGTTGTGCAGTTGCCATGGAAACCAATGGAATGTTAATATTTTATAACTGTTTTGGTTTACTAACCCCTTCATAACAGATCATTAGTTCTGTTAAAAGTATTAACCTTTAGAGCTCCTTTCTTCTCAGCCTTTTTAACAATGCGGAGCGTTGCAATAACAAACTATTGATTCCTGTTTGTGTAGTAAACATTTAGATTCTGTATGAAAAGCAATATTTTGGTCAACTCTCTACTTCTAAATTATTTCCCTAGAATGGCTGATTATATATACTAACTCTCTGTAAAAGTTAAGCATGATTTGACGTTTGTGTTTAGTTTCAAGAATTGCCCTAGGGATTTTGATGTCATCTACTTAAGATTTAGATATCTGATACGTGAATCTCAAAGACAATCAAGCATAAGATAAATCTGAAAAAGATTAATCATGTATGACTTACCGTACTTCAGAATAATTGTGCAAAACCGTTTTCTTTTGTTCATATCTATGCAATTTTAAAAAAGCAGAACAGTTAACTGGCTATGCTGTTGGAGCCTGTTTTATTATTTTTTTTTAAATTTCTAATGTTTATTATGTACTTGTCTTATGTAAGTTACTAACTGAAACTGAAATCTACACACTGTTAGGCATTAATTGTAAGTGATATATACAATTACATATAATTTATACAAATTTTCTTTATTTATTTTTAATGTCAACATTTTGTATTGTTAAATTATGCTTTCTTCCCACGCTATAACATCTGGTAGCAGCGGTGATTGGTTCTTGCAATTTTTTATATATATATGTTGCTTTGATTGTTGTCTTTGGAGGGGTGGGGGTCCTGTTTCTGTGGTTTTGGAATGAGTATTGCTGGTGTACGTGTTGTTTGGGGGTTTTTTTGTCTTTGTTTTACCTTTTAAAATACCATATCATTTTATTGTCTTTGCGGAAATGACTAGTTCAAGTAAAATGCAATCCCCATTAAAAATATGAAACCGAAACTGGGTGCATCATTATTCATTTTAATAAACATTCACTGTTAATAGAGTAGCCCCAACCAAATATAATTTGTTAAAATCCACCATATTGAAAAATTAAAACCATTTCAAGAATGATATATTTGATAAAGCTGTATCATAAATAGCTATTTAACCCCTTAAGGACGGGGGCAATTGTTCATGTTTTGAGCCAAAACAATTTGAGCTATAGGATTGTCTGTAATTTAAGGGTTATATACATATTGGTTTTTAAAAGAAAGAAAGGAAGGACTTTTATTTAATATCTTATATGTATACCTAACACATTGCGTTAAGTGTGACATAAATGTTAAAAATTTAATATTATTCCTGCTTGTTAAATGTCTAATATGTTTAAGATCTAAATAATATTTTTGGTAGTTGACATTAACCCTATATCAACCCCCAGACACTAACGTTATACCAACCATATGCCTTAACCCAACGCTTACGCTAACTCGAACCATATGACTACCCTAACCTCAACCTTACACTACCTTTAACATTAAAACAGTATTTATCTTATCCTCACCGTAACCTTACAGCTAACCTTAACCCTACCCAACTCTTACCCTTGAATCGAACCCTAACCCAACAATAACTCTAACTCTATGATAACCCACTGCTAATATCAATTCTGATATTAAAATTGGGTTTTATGATTTAACACCGTAGATAGTGGTCTATGACCACCATCTACTGGTCGTTTCCTTAATTACACTTTGTATAATTATGATAGAGCCCTGTTTCCCAGATGATTATACTGAGATCGGTGCTGGGCAGCTGGCAACGCCCAGCACCGGTCACAATCAGCTGGGAATTCCGTAAAGCAACTTACAGCCTAGAGAAGCTGCAGCTGAACACAATTGCTCAACCGTGGTTTTATCACTGTATTTAAAGGAACATTTTAAAGTTAGAATTTAAAGTTTTGTTCCTAGCACTAAAGTGTCCTTCTGTCCCACGGCTCCTGTGTGTGTGTCCGTCCATCCATCCATGAAAGGGCAAGACTGCGCATTTCCTCTGCTGCCAGATGATTAGGGGCTAATGAGCATGCCCAGTGGGTGCCACATGGCAGTCATACCCTGCAATGTAAACACTGCAGTTTCCAACACTAACCATCACTGTTTTTCATTACTGTACACAATCTGGGAAATCTGAATTACATATGCATTTTCCTTATTCAAACAGCAGTAATTGCTATTGAATTGTTAGTAGGTGGTTCTTTTTAGATATTAATTTTAAACTATTTTAGTTTAAATCTTTATGTGCCTCCCTTAATATTGCATATATTTAATCTGCGTTTTTTGATTTTAATTTTGGGGGATTTTTCCACATTTATAGTCACTTTAATTCACCATTATTTATTTAGTTTTATTTAATATTTTGTCGTATTTCTAATGCGGTAGTTCGCTAGTGCCCAATTAAATCTTAATCTCCCCCCTCCCCACTGTGTCCTGCAAGAACCTGTGGTGTTTTACTTTCCTTAATTCCAGTGCCGAGACTCCCTCAGCTCTGCTTCCTGCTCCAGGTCTCTCTGCAATGGCCAATCCAATGCTCCTCATAGAGGAGCATAGGAGATTGATGTGTGTTAGCAGCGAGTACTGTGTGCACATCCAAATGCTTCTCATGGGAATGTTTTAAATGTAATGCTTTCCTGTGAGCTGCATTGGTCACATGACTGGATTTACTAGGTTGTTCCTTCACAAATGCTTCTAGTGTCTGTCTGGCTGTGTTTAACTCTGCAATGGAAACATTGCAATTTCTACATAACTACAGTGTTTTACATTGCAGGGTTAAAACTACAGGGCCACTGCACCCAGACCATTTAATCGATATGAAGTAATCCAAGTGCCTTTAGTGACCCTTTAATCAGCAACAGAACTTTCTTTAAATAAGATGTTCACAAGAAAGAACAGGGATTGACCTGCTGTGACATCATGCATTAACCGATAAACTCTTTCTGCTCATTTGTGTAAAGGCTTGATATAAATATGGAAGTATAAATTAAGCTTTTTAGTATTCACTGCTTCATGCTGCTACTTAGTCGCTGGGAGATTTAAAGGCTTTGGATTGTAAAGTACTCCAGTTGTTTCTCTAGAAGCCGTATCCCTATTGATTTCTGTCCACATACAGAAATGTGTTTGTAAAACATGCTGTGGGTGCATCAATATAGTTTTAAAGCATTAGCACAATTGATTTGTTATGGAAATGCTTCCCTGTAATTTCCACAATAATATTAGAATACACTCACGGGGTTTGACGGGCATTAATAGAATATAAGATGCTGGCATGTTCTCATCCTGATGTTTGCACTGTCCACAAGAATCCATTAGGATATTCCTTCCTTCAACTGGAAAGGTAGAACCACTACCAGAGAGCAGTTCTCTTCCTTTGCAGGAAATTTTACCAACGATTGCTATGTCGCTTTTGGAGATTAGTTGACTTTCTTGCAGCTGTACAAGTTATATTATTTTCTACTTCATTCAAGGATTCCTGTCTAGGGATCTTCTACCCTGTGAGTGCTTGGTCCAAATGTGTGCAAGAAAGATAGAGAAGTGTGTCTTTGACAAAACTTTTATAGGTTTCCAGTTATGTAGTGCCAGGCTTCATGCCCATTAATAAGCTATCGTGAGGTTCTTGTCTCTTTGGGCACTCCCTTTGTGAGTTTACCCGCAATGATGGACTGGGCGAGGAGAATCATGCAATCATAACCATCAGCTTGTTGCTAGATTAGCCTTTACTTACTCCTGTCTCCACTCTGGGTGTGTCATATAAACCCTGGAGTAATGAGTTAATCCACTGTGTATGTGTGTCACTCTGGTAATTCCATGTTCCCTGATTGTAGTTGCACACAGGCATTTTAAATGGAGTGCAATGTTTCCTGTTTTAGCCGCTATTTACCTGATAGCACATCTTTTTGGGATATTCCTGATGTTTATTGTTGTTTTGGACCACTGGGGAGCATTAGTACAAAGGCTTGAATGCCTTTATTTTACTTTTTATGTGCGCTGAAGCCATTGCGACCTACTAATTCCTGTGTGTGTGCCTCAACCATGCTTCCTTCCTCTGGTGGCCATGTTGCTCTCTAATCATGGCCTCCTTACTGCTTTAGCTAGCTCTGCCTGTCTCTGATTCTTCTCTTTTGCTGTACCTATTTGGTAGACATGTTACACAAATCATTTAGGCTTATTACAGCTATTTTTCACCCACCAGTTTCTGTAAATGCATGGAGCCTAAATGCTTGCTCCATGTAGTGTGATCAGCTGTACAATATGTACTCTTCCTGGGGATGTCACTTTGGCCTATATGCTAGATGCCCTAATGGTTGCTTTGAGATATTTACCAGGAATTCTGCCTTGGCGTTTCTTCCTGTGACTTTCGAATTTGTCAGCTAAACAAGGCTTTTACTATCCCCTATTTGGTTACCACTTTGTTTGGCGCAGATTTAAATAACAATATCTTAAGGTTTCTGTGTGGCTAAAAGTGCATTCCTGCCTCAGATATGCCTGCTCATAAACTTTGGTTGAGTGTTTTAGGCCCTGTTGCTAGTCACACAGTGGTCACAGGAGTCGAGTCCTTCTTTTTAGTAAACACAGAGTACTTGTACAGGATGTTTTTCTTTCCCTTTTGTAGGAAGGTTCTTTTCTGACCACTATGCAATCTAAATCATGCTCATCTCTATATGCCCAATCACTGTCGGTTGTTCGTGTTTGTGCTCTTGGACTGTCATCGCTAGCTTGGTGACACTTTTATTTTGGGCTAGCCACTACTTGTCTTATCCTTAACATAATTTTTCCAACGTCCCTCTGCCTCTTGGTTTACCCCTACTCGATGACATCCTTTTGCAAGATGACTATTATAACCAAGCAGTTTTTCATAAGGACCTACTCCTATCTCTTCTAGCTTGGACATGGCTGGTCTGTCAACTTACCAGGGTAATTTCTGAATGTGGCCTCCATGGGAGTCTTGCTCATGATTCCATGGGAGTCTTGCTCATGATTGCCTGTATGGCAAGCTTTGTTGTTTCCATCTTTTCCAGTCAAACCCAAATTTTGCAGGATATATGGAGGTTCCATGTGTGCTGGTAGTTGTCATCAAACACATTAAACTATTCAACATTCACCTTCAACTCCAACCACTGTATTTTCCCAGGGAACGGAACTGGGATTCTGGGTATCTGTTGTAGAGAATTATACTGGACCCTTTAGTCCGGTCCTTCACAGGTGGGGTAGTCACCACCTGATCCAGTGTTGTGCCTTTTGCAGACTCTTCTGGACCATGGTGACAACAGCACCTTGGGATGGCTGCAAGCTTAGGGACTTTGTTTCCTCTATTGGTTAAGTTACTAATTGTGACCTGCACTACAGGAAGTAACTGTCTGACTTCAGTCATACTGTCACTCCTGTTGCTTTTTGCCGCCAAGGAGGGAGAAGGATTACTTGCAAATAGCTATATGGCTATACAGTGTTTTAGCTCACCCCTACTTCAAAGTCCCCCGATATGGGTGGATTGTAAACACACACACGTTTTCACTGCAAAGCTTCTTGCTTAAAGAAAGCTCTCCTCAAATTCATGTTTCCATGTTTTCCCAGAAAAGCATTCAGTGGCATTGCAATATTAAATATGTTTAAGTAATTGGTTGACTTATGGAATTGATTTGGGATTTAAAACCCACAACTAATGTGTAAACCTAACTACTGTATATTTATACTGCCAATATCACACTAGAGGTCCCTGCATCCTTTGGAGATGCTGCCCCTCTACTCTGGTACTATAAGGAATGAACAGAATTCGGTATTACACAAGTTAGACTAGCACTCTGAAGTGTTACAAGTTCCATGTCGTGGACAGAAGCTGTCTACAAATGAGCTATCAATTAGGGAGCACAGGCTTTTTTTTATTTTTTATAAAACAGGGAAATAACAGAGCTAGTGGATAAGCTACAAACAACCGTTTTTGCTCTATACACTCTTTATATCCTTTCTCATTTTAGTTAGTTGGGAGAAGAAATATATCTTGTAGCATGATAAAGAATTCATGGTATTGAAACAGTGTATATATTTTTAATTTTATTCCTCTGTTTTCTGTCTTGGTGTATGCAAGCTCTGTGGGTTCTATGCCAAGATTGTAGAGTAAACTAGTAACAAAGTTAAAACACGTTATTGACTACTGCTCTGTAAAGGCATGATAACCACTATTCTGGTAATCTGTTTGCTCTATACTTTTTGTCCTGCGTATTTTAGAGATTGTGACAGATAGTGAATAACAGCTTCATGAAGTGGAGACAAAAACAGCAAAATAGAGCCACAATTTATGCATATAGCCTACTGGCTTGGGTAATATAAAATTAATAACTTGTGATTTACCCCTATGCAGGCTCTCCTCCTGTATTCCATATTCATTCATTTAAGTCTTTTAATTTTTAATGTTTCACAGTTGGGATATTGTTTTATGAATATTGTGTTATGAATTCACATAATGTTTGATTTCAAAACACTTCTGGTTTAAATTTCAAGGAAGAATATTGTAATAATAGAGAGCCAATTTACAGAATCACGAAACTCATTAAATGGACTCTGTACCTTGGAGTGTTAGTATGAACAATTTATTTACGTTTTTACTTATAATGAGGTAAAGCCCTCAATCTGTCTATACAATCTACTTCTGGGATTAGACATTTGCGTCCAGAACATTGCTTTCTTCTCTATAAAGTCTTTACCGTGAATTAGGTTTTACAAGGTAGTTAAAAACCTTTAGCACTATCTCTTACAGTTGTAGTAGTACTGCTAAGCCATTATCATGAGAAGTCCTAACATCTGCAATGATGTCAATGAAAAAGGATCCTTCTACCAGAGTTCCTACTAGTCAGTTTACAGCTCTGCATATTTACTGCAGAACTTCAAAGAATGATCGAACTATAAAGTAGGGTAACTAGACATTAAAACCTACTTCATGAAAACACTTTACATTGCCATAGCCATGTGAATTGTTTTCAATTAGTACTGTTCCCAACATGTTTGCTTATGGATATGGTTCATAAATTATGAATACATTTGTAAAACACTATGTTTAGACAATACATAAAGGGTGTTTTTACTTGCAATTTAAATTTGGCATTTGTTAAGAAGGTAAGTATATTAATTGACGTTGTATGTACTGTTTCTTTCTTTTTCATCTTTGTTTGGGAAGTTGGTGGAGAACCAAAGGGCTGCCTTTTTAACTTAATTTTTTCTTATCTCCATTTATTTTGCTTGCTTGAGACAAGCTTGTGGCATGCAACATATTTTTCTTTCCAATTTGGTTCTTACACCTGTAGCATGAGGCCAGCTCAGCTGTAAGGATTTCATAAACACAGTTGCTTTCGCTGATAAGATTAACCATGCTGTGCTGCTGGATTCCGCTGCTCTCATTGCAGAATTCCATTTTTTGTTCCTACATGCTTTTCCAGATAAATATAAACGCAAAACATTTTCTTAAGAAAGTCTTCTTTTTGCCAATTAGGTCAAAGTCCTAAAATTTTAAGACCTAAACATCAAGGTTTAGAGCGAACAGATTCACAAACCATAGGTGACTTTACCAAAAGAAGAAAGGGTATGTACCTTAGATCTCCACACTTTCCTGTTATTGTTTTACCATGTCTTGATAGTAATGTAGTTATTGGCTTAATACAACATTGTATTTTAGCAACGTAGTATTGTAGGATCTGCTAACATTGATTTTTTTTTTTTAATTTTATTTTTTTTTTTATTATAGTGTGCTTCCATTTTATAATGTTATCAGTTGCAGATGTTATTCCTTGCAAAATATAAACCTCTCTTTAGCATGTTTAAGTATGTATATTTGTGTTGTGAAGTGTGTTGTTTTTCTTAGCAGGGATCATGGTGTATTGGTCATTATGCTTTTTATGACATTGTTATTTTGCTCTTACATATTTATATGCTTTTTTTATATTCGGTGCTTGTAAAATATTTCAGTATAATATGCATAGTATTAAAAAAACAAAACACGGATGGCATTTTATTATAAAGCTTCTAAATGGCATGAACCCGTTCAGGAACAATTATGTCCAATTACATTTTTTGCCATTTTGCAAACAAGAAAGTTGCCTAAAACTCAGTAAATAATTGCTTGTTATGTAAGTGTATTTCATTGTTGGTCCTTAAGAAATTAAAGCTATGAATTCAGTTTATATCTTAGCCTTATAGTAAAATTTTGTGTGAAATAATGTTTACTCATCCACAGATACAAATGCAGGCATTTCTGTGTTAGTGTGTTTAAAATAGGCCAAGAATTTAAATTACATTTGTAAACATTTTATTCTACAGCAAAGCCAGCACCTTTAGAAATAATGCCTTTGCCTGAGTGGGAAGAATTGAATATGCAGACACCAGTTCGTTCACCTGTAACGCGAAGTTTCACTCGAGAGTAAGTATTTTAATATCAATCGGAATTTAGAAGCGTACAGAGTAGAAATACATAGCTTTGGTCAGAGACCTGTTCTTGAATTGTTTGGAGCACACAAGTGCACTGTTTCCAATAACTTTTCCTTTGCTTTTGTAGTAATGACGTTGACTTGCTTCTAAAGATGTTAGTTTCTTTTTAGCTGCTATGGCAGGCTGTAATGATTATGGCACTTAGAGTATAGACATAAAACTTTTATTAATTGCTGTACAAACACTGTGGACTAAAAATTCCATCATTGTAGTCTAATAGTGATGTCCCGAATGGTTCGCCGCGGACAGCGAACATATGCGCTGTTCGGTCCGCCCCCTATTCGTCATCATTGAGTAAACTTTGACCCTGTACCTCACAGTCAGCAGACACATTCCAGCCAATCTGCAGCAGACCCTCCCTCCCAGACCCTCTCACCTCCTGGACAGCTCACTAAGAATGTAGCTTCACAATGAATGTAAAATGGATGCTGTCCAGGAGGTGGGAGGATCTGGGAGGGAGGGTCTGCTGCTGATTGGCTGGAATGTGTCTGCTGACTGTGAGGTACAGGGTCAAAGTTTACTCAATGATGACATAGGGGGCAGACCGAACAGCGCATATGTTCGCCGTTCGGGACATCACTGTAGTCTAACAATGGTAGTTATAGTGCACAGCTTCTAAATTATATATAAATGTAAAGTTGTATGAATGTATGCATTAACAGCATAGCAGTTATTCTTGATGCTGTTTTAATTTAGGGTTGACAAAAAGAATGCTCCCCAGCTGTTATAAATCCAAAAACATGTTGCTTTGTCTCAAGGAACGACTCTAAGTACCTTAACCACTGTAGTCAAACATAGTGGTTTGGTGCCAGGTGCGCCCTGGTATTGTCCAAGTGTCATCTGTCAAATTTGTCACAGTATAACACTTACCTTGGACCTGCTTACATGTTCTTGAAGCTGGAACTGTCCTTCAGGAATGAGTTCCTATCTTGAACAAAACTGACATTAAGTTTCTCTAGCTTGAGAAGACTGGATGCAGAAAACCAGTGGGACACGTGTAAATTTTTAAATATGGCTGGCACAGGACCAGGGCACTCCTGTCATAGCTGCTACGGCAGGCTGTAGTGATTATGGCACTTAGAGTATTGACAGCTGGGGATTTTCCTTATGGTCACCCTGGTCTGATATATGCCTAAAATGTATCCCAGCTGCATGGTTTTAAAATTATTGCTGGTAATTAGCTCCTCCAGGTTCCCCATGCCTCCCAGGCCGGATTCAGTTCATAGCACAGCTTCCAGCAGTGACTCACTGGACAGTGAAGAAAATTATGTACCCATGAACCCAAATCTATCTACTGAAGATCCAGTATGTAAAATCTACATTTTAATCACCTCTCATGTTGCCCTGTCTTTATACACATCATCATCATACCTGGCTTACGTGTTTTCAGACCTACTTATTCTTTCACTGCTTTGTGTTTTTATTTATGTATTTATTTTTGTATTCTGGTTTTGTTTATAGTTTACCGGTAGTTAAACACTTACACATTCTATTTTTTGTGTTGCAAAATATAATCTATATACTTTAAAAATGTGAAAGATTTTCAAATGTTATGTATGTTAGTCTGACCTTATTGTATATTTCACTGTTATAGTTCATCATTTGTAAAGTGTAGAAAACCAAATCTTGATAAATGGTTTAGAACAAAGTATGGGAACAGAATCTGTATAGCCTACTTCAATGGAAAATAATAAAATGTTAAGTTTATCAACTTAACAGAGAATTGACAGCAGTATCTCAAAATGGAGGAAAATGCTAACTTCATCATAGTTTTGGCAATTTGTTTGCCACTTTAAAGGATGGTGTATGATTGATATATTGCATAATCTGTGTTTGAAACGATTATTTGAGAATCTTTTTCACCTTTTCTTTTCCTAAACTAGTAGTCTATTGTTTGCAATGTTACTTCCCAAAAGTTGTCTCTATTCTATTCTGTACAGTTGTGTGCCTTGCCTCTGAGATAGCTATGAGATAGGTGATGGCAGTGGGTTCTTACTTTGTATGTGCTTTCGATCCTTGGGATCTTCTCACAGAGGCTTATTATTGCAGTTATTGTTTTAAAATGAATTTGATCACAAGAATATTCAAGTAACATTAGCAATCAGCAACTGAAGCCTGAATTAACTGAATGTTTGAAAGCTAAATAGTCTTAATGGGCTATGACTTTTTTTTTAAGCTTGAAGAGAAAGTTGTGCTGGTTGACAAAGGACAGACTTGTAAAATTAAAGGGATTTTATAGTGTTAGAAATGCAGATTTGTATTCCAAACACTATAGTGTCCTCTGCTTCCCCTGACCCCCTCCCCCTCACCCCTCTAGCATATAAATGGTAAAAAATAAAAGTACCCGTAGAAAAGCATTGAATCAATGCAGATTCACTCCCAGTAGCGCCTCTAGCACCTGGACTATTCCAAAAATAGCTTATACTAATTAGGAAACACACTTGGTAGTAGGCATGTGCATGGGGAAAATGTTCGGTTCGGCATTCCGACATTTGGGACTTTCGCAATTTGGGACTTGGGAAATTCTGCAACTTCGACATTTCGGAACTTTGGAATTTCGGAACTTCTCTTGCAGCCGCTTAGTAGATAACTCCCTAATTCCCACGGTATTAGGGAGTTATCTACCAAAAGGCTGAAAGACCTAAATTGGTCTTTCAGCCAAATTTACTAATACTAAGTAAAAATTACTTAGTATTAGTAAATTTTGCCTCTACTCGCTATACCGCGAGTAGGGGCATGTCTAGTAAACAGTGAGCAGCCTGGTACCCCCACCCGTGACGCGTGAATGGGGGCTTTTAAACTAAAGGGGGGTCCTATTGCCCCCCCTGAGCGGCGGGTGGGGGCCCTAAAGTAAAATGATGGGGGGGGGACCTATTGTCCTCCCCTCGGCCTCCACTCCTGAGCGGTGGGGGCCCTAAATACTAATAAGGGGGGGACCTAATGTCCTCCCCCCTGGCCCTCACCCCTGAGCGGTGAGTTGGGGCCCTACAGTAAAATAAGGGGGGGACCTAATGTCCTCATCCTCGCCCCCACCCCTGGGCGGTGGGTGGGGGCCCTAAATACTAATAAGGGGAGGGACCTAAAGTCCTCCCCCCTGGCCCCCACCCCTGAGCAGCAGGTGGGGCCCCTACAGTAAAATAAGGGGGGGACCTAATGTTTAGAACTATTTAGGGCCCCCACCCCTGAGCGGTGAGTGGGGGCCCAAAATTTGAATAAGGGGGGGACCTAATGTCCTCCCCCTGGCCCTCACCCCTGAGTGGTGGGTGGGGGCCCTAAATACTAATAAGAGGGGAGACCTAATGTCCTCTCCCTGGCCCTCACCCCTGAGCGGCGGGTGGGGGCCCTAAATACTAATAAGAGGGGAGACCTAATGTCCTCCCCCCTGGCACCCACCCCTGAGCGGCGGGTGGGGGCCCTAAATTGGAATAAGGGGGGGGACCTAATGTCCTCCCCCCTGGCCCCACCCCTGAGCGGTTTGAATTGGGGAGATATCTACTTATTCATTCCTGTCATTACATTGACTGGCTAAGTAACTTACATTTCATATGAATGTATGTTACTTGATTGTTATAAGTGTTGCAAATGCTTACAGCTGAATACAGTGTAACATTCTTCATTCTTCCACTGGGTAAGTATATTAGTTCTTAGGCAATACTGTACTTCGGCAATTCGACACTTCGGAAATTCGGTAATTTCGGCTATTCGGATATTCGGAATCACCTGAAATTCAGCCGAATTTTAATTCGGACCGAAACGAATTGCACATGTCTACTTGGTAGGTTATTCATGAGTATTGCTGAGAGGTCAGACGGAAAATATAGAATACCCCATATAACAGACTTTTGCTGAATTTATAGTTTCTGCTGTTTATTTTGTTTTAAAGGTGCATTTATGCTCCGTTTTGTGAAATTGTAAATGACTCCATAAATACATACAGTTGTTTGAGCAGGGGCCTCAATACCCTCTGTTCCTGTGCGTCCAATCTAATCCTACTCCTGAGGGTTTTCCTCTGCTTATATCATTACTGATATTGGAAAATGGAATTTTTAAATTAAACCTAAGCGTGTGTTGCTATCTTCTACTGACTGTTTTAAGCGTGACAGGGCTAAAAAATCTGAATGCCAAATACATTGTGATCAGCGCTTGGCCAATCAAAAATCAAAATGGCATTGGGGCATGCATGGAGATCCTGATAGGGCCTGTTTTGACCCAAGAAGTTTCCCAAAGATTGCACACAGAGATGCACCATGGCTGAGCATCAAAAGGGTTTTGACCTCTACATACAGGTCAGTAACCATAATTGTGGCCCCAGCTGACCGAGGAGAGCCCCAAGTATCAATTGATACTGGAGTTTCCGTAGTGTGAGCAGGGATTTAAGCAGGTCATCTATAAGTCTGGGGCAAATATGGACGCAGCTGACAGAAGAGAGCCCCAGGTAATGATTGATTTATCCCTGCTCACGCCAAGTTGTAGCGTCGAATTTAAATCTCCATTTAAAGTTCTAAGTGCATGCTCACTTTGAGCGCTGCGTGCAGTTTGTCTGTCAGTGTGGTGCCACCAGTTTTGGCCCCAGCTGACAGAGGCCCCATATAACCAATGAAACCTTGGTTCCCCTTTTACTCACAGGGAAACAGTCCCTCCCTGCTAGTAAAATACAGGTTGATGGATCATGACTGTCAACATTCCTTACTGTTCAGTCTTTATGCATAGAATGACTTTAGTCAAGTGGCAAGGACAGACATTTTCAGAATTATACAATTTAGGTTCTTTGTTATACAATTCTTCAATATTTTTTACAATTTATATTTTTAACCCACAAATTATATTTCCACAAGAGGCATGTAAGAAGGCTTCCCATTTGCCCTACTCATATTCAACTTTACCCTTTGATACTTTTATTACACAGTACCCAGAATTCAGTGGCATTCCATAAGGGCATAGATCATTGGAACTAATGGTGTTCGCCAATTACATTTTATTACATGTTGACCATTATTGATATGGTATAAGCAAAGAATCAACCTTTCCAAATCTGCAGTCTTACTCAGTCTGTCATTGCCTATTAACTTACATATTTGATACCCTAGTAAATAGGATAATGAGACTAATTCTACAGGGGCTTCTTGCCCTCCCACCCCCACCTTCATATTAACCCTTAAAACCGTTTTCAGACTTTAGTTTTGGACTTTCCTTTAGAATAAGTGCATCTTTTCTTGCATCAGAAAAATATATACTATCTCAATTAAAGGAACATTCTAATGTGATATAATATAAATATATGTTTGGTTTTTTTACTTAGATTACTGGGTCTTGCTGGTAATACGTTGGCACATTCTCCTTCACTTAGTAAGGATATTGACCAAGGGATAGGTCAGGGTGTCTCCTACTAACTAAAACCATAAGTTGAGGAAGGACTATGACTATATAGAAACATAGAATGTGACGGCAGATAAGAACCATTCGGCCCATCTAGTCTGCCCAATTTTCTAAATACTTTCATTAGTCCCGGGCCTTATCTTATAGTTAGGATAGCCTTATGCCTATCCCACGCATGTTTAAACTCCTTTACTGTGTTAACCTCTACCACTTCAGCTGGAAGGCTGTTCCATGCATCCACTACCCTCTCAGTAAAGTAATACTTCATGATATTATTTGTAAACCTTTGTCCCTCTAATTTAAGACTATGTCCTCTTGTTGTGGTATTTTTTCTTCTTTTAAATATCTCCTAGTCCAAAAAGAGGTCACCTAGTTGCACTAGATAAACAGGGGATATCCCTAATTACTAAAATTAGAAAAGGAATGAAGACAATATCCAAGGCGTTCACTCCAAATGAATATGTACAACTTAGGTTAAATAAGTAGCTTGCATGCCAAGATAGCTTACGGCACCTGAGGTTCCTAGTTGGTCTCCCATACAAGTACTAACCAGGCCCGAGTCTGGATGGCTTCTGAGATCTGACACTTTCAGACTGGTATGCAAGCTACTTATTTAACCTAAGTTGTACCTATTCCTAGACATTTACTTCCATTTGGAGTGAACGCCTTGGATATTGTCTTCATTCATTTTCTAACATTCTCCTTCACACCCTCACTCACACCTTACCATGCTACTCTCCCACACCCCCCTTCTCTCATTTCCATTGCTTGGTGTCTTGTGGAGAGACAGGAATGGGCTAGGGAAATTTGTTGACAAATTTTTAATGATTCATGGTAATTTGGGAGTCAGCACAGCATGACTAGTGATATCCTCTTCACTTGAGTTTCTGCTCTTAAACACAGGGGTCTTATGATTTATGACCATATTACTGTGGATTACCTGGAGCATACTCAGAATTCTCTGTTTTTCTAACACTTTTCTTTTTTATAGATGAGTTTCTGTACATTGTTATTTGCAACAAAAATGATATTATTCCTTCTATTTGAACATTAATTAATTTACAAGTAACATTGATTGGTTGTTTGAAATACTTTACATAAAAAAAAAAAAAGAGCCAGTTTCAGTCAGTGATAACACTCTTTTAAAGTGAATACTGTGTTTTAAGAGATCTCTTCAAACAAATAATTTGGTTATTTTTATTTTATTTAATGATTGAAACGTTGCTGCAAAACTAAGACATGTTAGAGTTACGTTAGCTGAAGCTCTTTGCCATTGCTGTCCACACCCTACTACTATTATAGAATCTAATTTTCTTTTTCCCCTTTATATGAACAGCTTTGAACATTTCAATTCCTTTCAGCCTACGTCACATCAGCCTATCCTATTCACTTTCTTTTTTGCTGACTGCTGCCCTCTCTCTTCCTTTTTTTCTTTATCTTTTAGAGAAGAGACCTTCTATTGTACTGTTCCCATAACACCTGTAAAGAGGGAGGGATCAGGCTGGGAAAGGATTGAGGAGGTGAGGTGGTATGAATCTAGGATAAGTTGCATTAGATGACTGGAAGAAAAATAAATACATTAAATGTGCACAGTGTGATGGCACTGTACACATAACAAATAGGTTTTATATCCCGTTTAATTATTTCTGAAATAAGCTGTTCATTACCTAAAGGACAAGTTAATTAAACATACTACTCTCATCATTGGTGGAAAGACATTTTGTTTTGTAGTGCTGAGGTCTGTGAAATGACTGGGTATGTGTATTGAAGACTTCAGTTGTGGAAAGATTAGGTTTGTATGTGGTCTTAATAATAGAAAATGATGCAACAGGACATTAAATGAATTCAGGTCTAGAAAACTTGGGATGTTGTCAGAAATATGACTCGGTAGGCTTGGTCTTTACTTCTGGGTTCTTGTCAAGTTTTGTCAAGTTCAACTCCCTTAAGAGTAAAATGTGTTGAAACAACTTCTGAACCTAAATACTTGCATTGGAAAAGGATGCTTTTAAATTTAAATGGAATAGCCATTTTACATTGTGTATGTTAAAAGTGAATATTTCATGTAGTTATGACATGGTGGCTTTTTTTTTTTTTTAAAGAAAATAAATTCCATATTTAAGATTCTAGTGTAAGTGCCTGTGGACGTAGGGAACGTTAATATTGTATGTCTACATTTAAAACGATTCTTCCCTGCTTCTGTCGTAGGGGTAGAAATTACCTACTGGTTGGATTGGTTGTGAAAACATCAGTATAGTGTGACCGTGTGCTTGGTGTATACCTTGGGAGGTATGTGTGTGTGGACACAACACAATGTTTTGCGGAAAGATAAAATTGCTAATATTGTATCGATAGATTAGGCATTGTAACATAAACTGAACCTTACCATCATCATGTTGAATTGGTTCTAAGTAGCAAATGTTTTCACTGAATGGTTACAACAATGTTTAAATTAAACATTAAGAACTATTCAGTTTATGTTCTAATGGCTACAGCTAAATTCAGTTTGTTTGTTCAGATTTATTAGAAACTTTTAGAAATCATAAATTAGAAGAACTTATGTTATCTGTGCATATTTTAGAATTTTTGCAAAATACATGCAGGAAACGTAAAGTAAGAAAGCACTTCAAATTCATGTGATTAGTGATCTTTGCCATTCCTGTGTCCCTGCCCCCAAAAACAATCTAAAGCTAATGTATCTTGAGCATCTTTCGGCAACTAAAGAATTAAAACAAAATCTATCTTTATCAAAAACTGGTAGTTATTTACATTGGTTTTAATGTGATGTAGAATATTATGTAGGCTTATCACTCATTTACCAAAATGCCCGTCTTGCACTGGACAGCATGCGTTTCAGTATCGGATAATGAGCTCTAAAGACAGATGCTTATTTCTTATATCTGTAACCTGTGAGAATGCAAACCTTTTCTAAAGCATGTTTCCTTTTAATTCTTTAACATGCTTCATGTCCATACATTGTTCATCTCAAAATAAATTCCATAATTTTACCTTGTCCCTTTGTATTCTTGCTTTGTACTTGCTTTTCTCACACATCTGGTAAAATTTGAGCATCTGTAAAGTGAATAAATATTACTTGTTATCATTTCAGAATTTGTTTGGAAGCAGTAGTCTTGATGATGGGAACAGCCCCTTGGTGAAGCCTAAAGGAGACAAGCAGGTGGAATATTTGGACTTGGATCTAGATTCTGGGAAATCCACACCACCAAGAAAGGTATGTGAACTGAGTGATGAAATATGCAATTCAATTAACCATCATTAGTAAAATCAACATTTGAGAATTACACATAACATTTAAAATGTCTGTTGATGTGTCTAGTAAATGGAGTAAGGTGATTTACTTAGGATTTTATTAAAACCAGCCACATGTAGAGTTTTGGGGGAAAAAACATAAACAAGACACCCTATTATCTTCATTTATTATTGCATGTACAAGTACAGCTAAATAAATACCCTTTCCTTATATTGTCTGTTTTCTGAAGTATACCTCCAAATACTTTTCTCAAAATACCAAGACCAACATTTAGGCAAATTATGCAAATTTACAACCCACTATATCAAGCATATTTATTCTTTAGATGAACTGCCAAGGCCCAAAGGGACACCCAAACCACTTCATCTCATTTAAGTGGTCTGGGTGCACAGTCCTTGTCCCCCTTAGTCCTGCAATGTAAGACATTGCAGTTTTTGAGGAACGCCTGATAATACACTAGCATATCCCTATGTCAGTGGTCTTATGCTAAATGTGACATAGGAGATAAACATGCTATCTGCAATACTTACTGCTTAAACTGTTTCCAGAGTCTCTTCTGAAATGTATGCTTTCCTGTGGTTACCTCCAAAGAGACAACTATAGTGTAGTGGTTAGGTGCTCAACCCAAAAGAAATCTTGAATCCTTTTGGTCTAAATTCCAAATATATACAGAAAAAAAGGAAGTTGGGGGGGGAGGCACACCAAGAACATGCATTTCTCCGCAGTGCTGCTGCCTTAAAAAGGCCAAAATATACACAAAATACAAATTAATGAACATCGCATGCAAAAAGAATACAGGTTTAAATCTAACAAGATTTCTTAAAATCATCTATCTCAGCAAACAAATATAGGAATTTGGTTACACCATGTGGCCGTATTGTGTTAAGCCCAACACTGCATAACAGTAACCCAAGATTGTTGGGTCCCATGCTAATTTTAACATGGGTAATGTAATGAGCATGTTCAAATATAATTTGCAAATTATCTTAGACCCCCACCGATATATATTTCATTGAACATAATAAGTTGAGAGGGGGAAAAAAAAATGTTTCCGATTACCCTCCTCCAATACAATGTCATGGCTGTGCCCTATAACAAAAATCATTGGTATATTTCTACTTTCTAATTTTCTGAGAAATGGTAGTTCCCTTTTCAAAACAAAGAAAAAAGTTTATAGCCACTCTGCAGGATTATAAAAAGGTTTTGTTTGCTTTTTTTGCTCCTCCAGAAAAAGAGCAGTGACTCTGGAAGCATTGCTGCTGATGAAAAGGTGGACTACGTTGTTGTTGACAAACAGAAAACGATTGCGCTACAGAACACACGGCGTGCATGGACTGATGGGAGACAGTCTACTGAATCAGAAACTCCAACCAAAAGCTTAAAATAAATGCTTCCAATATCTAAAAAGTTCTTTGTGTTGGAAATAGAGCTGTCTATGGATTGTCACAACATACAATGTCTTTTATGATATATTCTAGAAACATGAATAGATCAATACGACAAAAACTGATATGTGCATTGCCCTGTCTGTAGAGTTTTGACTATGTAAATACTGTACCATACAAACTTACTGTCTAGCAAGAACCATTTGTTTAACACATTTAGCCATGTTTTGTAGTATTACTATGTTTATGCACTTTTGCTGTTCAAACAGTGGTTCTTGTTCTTAACACCTTAATCCTCATTTTGTTGTTAACAGCTTATTCAAAATGTATTTTTTACAGTTTTATTTCACACACTAACACACACACCTAAACCATTGAAACACCTGATAGGCCTCTCATATGCAGGATTCTATAACACTATACAAGCCCTTGATGAGTAGCTAGTGCAGTAATACACTTTTCGGTAGGCCAGTTGAATTAGTATAACTTTTGCCTTTTAATTTGGTTATTCTGCTTTGTGATCTGTGCTTTTATAGAAAGAAATATTTATTCTTCATAAAGAGCTTGTTAATAATTAGTAATTGGTATCATCTGCAATGCTGCCAAATTATAAACCACTTGCTCATATCTAAGATCAACATATTTTTTTAATTTTTTTTTTACTTTTGTACAGGCGATGTGATTTACAGTTTTATGTTCACTATAATGCATTATTAAAAAAGTGCTTTTATTTCCCCTGCCCCAAAAAATTAGTCTTTGAGGGGCAAAGGGCTGGTGCTCCTTAAAATATTCTATAATAAAATGACATTCTTTCTTGTTAATGATCAGCTTTAGAACAAATTGTAGGAAAAAGGTTTTAAGAGTAAAAGCTTCCAGAGGTGACTTTAAAAATAATACTTTTGAAATAATATTTAACACAAATGTAATTACTTGGTATTGTATTTAGCAATGTTAGTCCTTTCTCCGGCAGTGTATTTTTATTACATGATCTATGTTAGGTGTAGATTCTGCAGGGTAGAATCTTACGACCAGGGAGTGAGACTAAAAGAATTTAATGGCGTCATATGTTAAATAGCATTTTTTTTTTTTTACATTACTTACAGAAGGTAGATATGATATTAATCAGGTACGTATGAAGCACTGTTGTGCTAACACACTGATCAGGTTTTTACAGTGAAGTTAAAGCATTGCTTGTACAAATTCTAATATTGTAATGTTTCATTAAGACAGCTGCCATTAACTTTTCTAGTACTAGTACAATACTGTGATTTCTATTTTTGTTTTAGGTAGCCAAGTATATGATTTGGACACCACTGTGCCCTTCACATTGACTCTTATGTTCCTTTAACACCTGCTTTGCCTTATATTTAAATCTCCTATGCAACTTATTTTATATGAACATTTAATTGATACGAGTGACTGATATCTTTTTTAACAAATTATTTTTTCATCCTCTGACCTAAAAGCTGTCCATATTTTGCATCATCCATTACCAATTGATGTGCAGTAGTACCTTACAAAGCAGTGCATGATAATTATGTATCAGAAGGATCTAATGTCTGTATGTTTTTATATTTTACATCTAGCTTCACTAAAAGCCTAATTTTTAAAATGCCATTGTTCTACCTCCCTTTCAGTATTTGATTTTAAGTATTTTGTTATCTATTTGGTATATGTTTGGTGTGTGTATGTATGTGTATGTGTATATATATATATATATATATATATATATATATATATTACGCACAGTGTATATAATACATATACAGCTAGATAGATGATTCAGAAAATGTTCTTACTGTGTGTATATACGTGCACACCTTCCAAAATGCAGCCACGATACTTTTTTAATTAAGGGAAAGTATTGATTAGATACACGTTTTGTTTGTGTGAATAGATCATTTCATAATTTTCACAAACATCTACGTTTACATACCATGCATATTTTTATGTGGTCTGCTGGAAGTAATCTTGCACTGTTGCATCTTACCCACAGAATTAAAAGCAAAAAATAAAAGCAACCACAGTAACTTTAAAGGGAAACTCACAATTTATAATGCAGTGAACAGATAATGAAGAATGCAGAAAAAAATTGCAAATATTAGAAAAACAGATATTTACATTTGATGATCAAGTATTCATTCTAAAATTAATTTCACCTTAACTAGGAAGTAGCTCGGAACTTTCAGTAATTCCTAATCTGCCCAATATGTCTATGATTTAAAGTGCATATCTTATAAATCCTCTGTATTTCAGCATCTTTTATCTCACTTATAGCTCTTATTGTGATTTTCAGTCACTGGAGCTAGGTGTAGCCATGTGCAGTATGCAAGTGCTTCCTTGTGATCCACTTGAGTAGGGAAAGTCTTATAGCTGCAGCTATTTTTGACAGAAAAGAGACAGCGGAACCCACTGCATTGTATCTTTTGCAAGGAACCATATAGTTATATATATATATATATATATATATATATAATTGTTTTAAAGAGGACATTTTACTTTTTTGATATTGGCTGTTCTTTTTCCATTACCCCAGTAAATGCTATTGAAAAAGCCCCCACAAATAAGCATTTTATAAAAATAAAATCACGGAAATTCCAACCCAGTCCAAATATATCATAACAGAATAAGGGACTACTTTCGTTGGCAAAACGTGCCAAAAGGCGGAACTAACTTTTGCCAAGCCCTCAGTCATCACTGACGGCTGAGATGAAAAAGCGAAAAAAGGCTAGAATATCCACATGTTTTGCGGGATCGTCCATAGACAAAGTTGAACTCACGCGCATGCACAAGAGTACAGCACTGGGAGCTGAAGAGGGCCATGCGGAAAATGGCAGGTCCCGTGAGGGACAGGTTTAGGTATTTAAAAACTGCCTTCCCTTGTACCCCGTGGCCACCCCAATACAAAGTAAGCAGTCACAATGTGGGCTCTTTCAAAATATGCAAAGACCCCAAAGGTGACACAGTTGGTTGAAGTTAGCAGTATACAACTTAACCTACTAACTTTAGCAAAATAATACTTTTTTTTCAATGGTTTACTAATTTTTTTTCTAATATCGACATTCATTTTTTTTATAATTTGCATCGGGGGCATTTCAACCCTACTTCTGGGAATTTATGATTACAATAATTTATTGCAAAGATTCATATTGCAACTACCCCTTGAAAGTATGATAGGGGCTCTGCAGTGTTCCATTATTTTGTGTGTGTGTATATATATATATTCATATATATATATATAACCAAAGTGTCAGGAAAAATTTACTTTTTACATATTTTATAATTCCTGTATATTAAAAATTTATCTCAATTTAAGAACGTACATAGAAACATTACTTCCCACAGAAAACCTTATGTACAATGCAAATCATTCTGTGACGTTGTAAAAAGTATAATTGTTGGCAATTTTGATGCAGGGTATGATAGTCTCTCTGTAAAGAGTACTACTTTAAAGAAATGCAGGAACTCATATTTATTGCATTACACACTATTTGACACTTATGTAAATGCATGCCTAGCATATAATATTGGGGAAAAACTATATATAAAATTGGAAGGTATCAAATGCATTTTGAAAGGGATTTAGATACTTGCAAATTGAGTTAGCATGTTTTGCCACAAACTGTGCCTTTTTATTTAATAAACTTTTTTCTTCTTCTCTATGCTGGTTACTGACTTGCTTTTACATTAATCTCTTTACATTAATCTCTTTACAACAAATGGGTGACTCCAGGAATGGTGTCTCCCTATGCAAATCTATGTTTTGATACATGGACGCTTTCTATCCTTTTTGGTTAAAACACAATACAAGGTGCATGGTTTTGTTTTATACTTTCTGGTACTACATTTTTCGTCATTGACGTTAAGTTTTTCGTAACCTATTGTCAGTTACCTAAAATTACTGATCCATGATTTTAAAAATAAAAATGTTGTGTTCTATGTATATTTTGTTTACGAATATAAACCTTCCTCACAAAAATGCTTTACCGCAAATAACTTATCTTACAGTTTTTTCAATTCACTCTAAGTACAATATTTATTTTATGAGTTGGTATAGTTATTCGAAAGTGAAGCACACATTTACTGTGTAGATTTTTAAGGGAAGGTTTTATAGTTTTTAGTATGTTCCATAGAAAAATCCCTACAATCTGTGCAATATTGTGATAGATCCATAAAAACGTTTAATGCATTCTGCCATTAAACATTTTCCCTCCGATACTCGTACATTCATTGTAATGAAGACTGTTTTTTGAGAACAGTATAAATTGATCAGAATTATTTACTTTGCTTATATCATTGGAAACATTGTAAGCTAGTCTTGTAATATGACATGTGGGACAGTTGTAAACACTAACTGCTTTATTTTTTTTATTGTAATGTTTCATGCATAACTCAAAGGTACAGCATTAAAAACTGGTAACACTGCAAATTGTAAGCTTTCCAAACACTGTGGATTCAGACTTGCAAAAGGTTATATATAGTGTCAATGTTTGAAACAATAAAAAGTTTATCTGGAAATTTTATACAAAAACATAGTAGTCTTTATTGGCTGGGGAAGGGAATAGGGAGCAAAACTGAGCAAATAATAGAAACCTTATTGCTTGGCAAATTAGATTAAGTATGTTACTAAAATACAAAAACTAATGATACTGCACTCAAAAATTCAAGATAAAGTTCATTGCTGAATTTAATAAATCATTAATTAATTAAATATCTTTTAATGAGTATAATTTCATTAGTATAGGTATACCCTAAAGTTAGAAAAATTGATGATATATACACACTTAAATTGATAATATATACACGCTGGAATAAACCAATATAGTTTAGTAGAAACAGTGCATTGTGAGTCTACTATTATAACTCCATGTTAAATAAAGAGAGTCCCTGACCACATCAAGAAGTTCTGAGTTGCTGTGTCTGAAAGTCCAAACAAATGTGCCATCCAGAAAAGTAGGGTAAGTCAGAGAGAAAAAAGGAGAAAAAAAAAAAGTAAAAAATGAAAAAATATTGAAAAAAAATATAAAATGGAAAAAGTAAGTGTGACGAGACCAATCTCGCCACATTGCATTGGAGAAGCCTGGTTGCTCGTCTGTTGCCTTTGGATTATGGCCCCATGTTAAAAGGCTTGATTTTCCCCTGCAAAGACATGAAAGCCGGGTCATTTAGTGCTTGCCCTGTTTGAGCGGTGATACCCCAGATAGCTATGCCATGGAGCCCATTCGTATAATGAAAGACTTTGGCTCCATGGCAATTGAACTGTATGTGTGTGCTCTGAGCGCCATTCAGTAATAATGTGCGCTCAGATCTGAGCTATCTGGGGATATGTTAAATGTACCTGTTTTGTGCAATGGCTGCACAGTTATATGTTTTGTGTTTTATTGTCTTTTGCTGCCATGTGTTTAATGGAGTTTTGCCTCTGTCCTTGGAGATAATTGGATTACTTCCCAATTATCTCCAGGATAGAAGACTCTGTGGAACTGGTTTTGGGCAGAAAAGCCATGCTTCCTTTGGTCACAAAGGAGTACGATCTATCTTTTGAACCACTGGACCAATTTGTATGATTTTGACGTATGTTTGTATTTGGAGTATGCTGATTCTGAAATGTCAGTTATATGTGAATGTGATGCATACCTTTCAAGTTATGAATAATGTGGAAAAATTGTATTTGTCTGCTTGTTATAATTACATTACCCATTGTATAAGGTAATTGAATCACAGGCAGAGGGGAGGATTTTGTGTGGGAGTGTCTGAGTGTATTGTATGTGTTTATTGGTTGTGTTCCAAAACCCTGTGGGTGGTACTAATCTGTAAGAATGTGTACATAAGAACAATAAACCCACAACTCTGTCTGTTCATTGCTTGACCCTCAACACGGAGCTTTGTCTCGTTCTTGGGGGGATTTATTGTATGCTGTTCCAGTTTGACTGCTAGGAGTGTAAACCTATTAGTATGGTTTTTCCTATTCGGCTGTTTACAGCATTCATATGGTTTCCTGTTTGGCGGATTGGTGTTCTGCAGTAGCTGTGCCTGTGTCTCTGGAAGGGGAAGATCTACTAAATGGCGGTTTAACCCTTTAATGCTGAGGGTGCCGTTACAATTGGTGGCAAGCGGCGGGATCATTCCCACAGCCAGAAGGATAGCTACAGGAGACACCATTTCTTTTGATTTACAAATTGAGGGCAACGCATGTCTGAATACAGTGACCCTTACAGCATCAGGATGGAACCAGCAGTGGAGCACGATGAGGGTGTCATGGATGACCGAGATGCACTTCGCAAAGGCATCTGGTACCAGGCACTGGGCATTTTGGAGTACCAGCGGGGCGAGAGACTCCCCAAGGAAGACCAGCGATTGCAGAAGCGACTAGCCCTGCGGATGCCCTTCCTCGGAAAGCAGCCCCTGGAGGAATGGGTGAAGGAATTGGAGCTCCAGGTATGGCAGGAGATTTGGCTGGAAGATGCCTACCAGGTGCTCTGGTGGTATGGGGCACAGTACCTGCCCTGGACAGCCAAGCATGACAAGCCAGAGGGAGAGGAGTTTAATGGTCCTGGTTTGTTATGGGAGGCTTTTTCAGAGCCTGAGTTTGGGAGCTCTACACAAACTCGGTTCAGTGATCTCTTGGAGTGGAGGGAGAGCAGGTATGACTGGGATGACACTCATGAGATTGAGCAAGACCTGGTCCACCTAGTGACCCGAGAGATGGAGCTGGAGCAGGGCTACCAAGATCTGTTCTACTCCAGTGAGAAGGCTCAGCAGGGAAGCGGAGACCCAGATCCAGACCCATTCAGCTGGGCAGATATTGCAGAATGTTACTGGGAAGAACCCCAGGTGGCTGGTGGAGATGGGACCGAGGTCTCTCCACCGGTCCTGCAGGGAATTGGGAGCCCAATCTCCATTCCCCAGCGGGAGATATTGCAGGGAATTGGGAGCCCAAGCTCCATTCCCCAGCGGCAGGCTGAGTTACAGGGGACAGAGATAGTTGGTACTGTCCCCCAGCGGCAGTGTACCTTGCAGGGAGAGGAGAGCAGCGTCCTCCCTCCCCAGTGGCAGGGTGAGCTACAGGGATGCTGGGCAGTCGGCTCAGATCCCCAGCGGCAGTGTGAATTACAGGGAATTGGGAGCCCAGTCTCCATTCCCCAGCGGCAGTATGAGTCATTGGGAATTGGGAACCCAGTCTCCATTCCCCAGCGGCAGAGTGTCCTACAGGGAATAGAGAGCCCAGTCTCCTTTCCCCAGCAGCAGGACTCTGTATTGGGAGCAGAGACAGTCGGTCTCCCTCCCCGCGGCTGGAAGTATATATGGGAGAGGAGCTTGTTACCCCCTCTCCCCAGCGGCAGCTTAACGTACCGGGGGGGACAGTAAACCCCACAACCGTGCAGATGGGACCCTGGTCTCTGCACTTACAGCACAGGGGGTAGGGATGGTCGGTTCTGCCCCCCAGCGACAGGGCTGTTTAGCCAAAGGGGAGACAGTCGGTCCCCCCCTCCAGCAACCGAGCGGTGTAACCAAAGGGGAGACAGTCGGTCTCCCCCTCCAACAACCAGGCTTCAACCAGGCTACTCCCGTGGTACCGCTGGCCTCTGCCCAGTCAGCAACCCACCAAGTCAGCTTACCAGTCACCCACACAGCCGTGGTGAGGCACCTGGACATGGACAAAGTTCTCCTCTACCCAGGTGTAGTAACCATTTATTGTGGGTGGGCTGTATTACTGTTTGTGTGTTGTGGGTGGGCTGCTTGACTAACAAGGGCACTGACTGGCAGGAAGTCAGATACCCTGTTAGTCTGTTTGGAAAAGGGGAGAGATGTGACGAGACCAATCTCGCCACATTGCATTGGAGAAGCCTGGTTGCTCGTCTGTTGCCTTTGGATTATGGCCTCATGTTAAAAGGCTTGATTTTCCCCTGCAAGGACATGAAAGCCGGGTCATTTGGTGCTTGCCCTGTTTGAGCGGTGATACCCCAGATAGCTATGCCATGGAGCCCATTCGTATAATGAAAGACTATGGGAAAGACTTTGGCTCCATGGCAATTGAACTGTATGTGTGTGCTCTGAGCGCCATTCAGTAATAATGTGCGCTCAGATCTGAGCTATCTGGGGATATGTTAGATGTACCTGTTTTGTGCAATGGCTGCACAGTTATGTTTTTATGTGTTTTATTGTCTTTTGCTGCCATGTGTTCAATGGAGTTTTGCCTCTGTCTTTTGAGATAATTGGATTACTTCCCAATTATCTCCAGGATAGAAGACTCTGTGGAACTGGTTTTGGGCAGAAAAGCCATGCTTCCTTTTGTCACAAAGGAGTACGATCTATCTTTTGAACCACTGGACCAATTTGTATGATTTTGACATATGTTTGTATTTGGAGTATGCTGATTCTGAAAATGTAAGTTATATGTGAATGTGATGCATACCTTTCAAGTTATGAATAATGTGGAAAAATTGTATTTGCTTGTTATAATTATATTACCCATTGTGTAAGGTAATTGAATCACAGGCAGAGGGGAGGATTTTGTGTGGGAGTGTCTGAGTGTATTGTATGTGTTTATTAGTTGTGTTCCAAAACCCTGTGGGTGGTACTAATGTGTAAGAATGTGTACATAAGAACAATAAACCCACAGCTCTGTCTGTTCACTGCTTGACCCTCAACATGGAGCTTTGTCTCGTTCTTGGGGGGATTTATTGTATGCTGTTCCAGTTTGACTGCTAGGAGTGTAAACCTATTCGTATGGTTTTTCCTATTCGGCTGTTTACAGCATTCATATGGTTTCCTGTTCGGCGGATTGGTGTTCTGCAGTAGCTGTGCCTGTGCCTCTGGAAGGGGAAGATCTACTAAACGGCGGTTTAACCCCTTTTATGCTGAGGGTGCCGTTACAGTAAGTATATACAGTCCCAGTGTGTACACACAATAGTATATGGGTGGATCATCAATGGAAAAGAAAGTCCAGTAGTCCAGTTCTCCGTATCTCTTAATGTAGTGGTGAAATCCCTGTAGTTAGTATCAATCTATTCTTCCTTTACTTTTTCAAGTTATATGTAGAGAGAAGTTCCCCACTTATCCTGGAGGTACTAAGGTATGTCTTTTCTATCAGCTGGTCCCGGGTCTCATGGGCGGGCTGCGCACTCGGGATCTAAACACATCCCTTCAATGGCCCTGTCAGAAGAGAAAATTAGTGAAAGTCCCATACTTTTATGCAGTTAGGCATGCCCGATTAAATGCGCGGGTCACGCCTAGATGACGTCCTGACGCTCGCGTCCGTGGGTCACGTCCGAATGACGTCATGGCGCACACGTCCGGTAACTATGCCCGACGTGTGCCGTTTCATTATGCAAATATCCACATTCCTGCACAATTGTATGTGTTCCAATTCACTTGTTAAGTGCAGTACATACAAAATATAATAATATATATACACATACAATCCTTTACCTTAGTCTGCATGTATGGGAAAGAACAAGTTCCCTAATGTATATTTACATGGGAAAGGAGCTATGTACATTAAAACAAAAAAATCATAAAATCATATTAACATAAAGTATTTAGATAATTATTATAATAGGATACTTTACCAATAAAGGAATACTAATCATATTTATATATACTCAAGGGTTAAAGACATATTATATACCTGGTTCAACTGATCAAGAATAAAGCTACTAATCATTTTCATGCAAAAAAAGTTAAGGTCATTA